ATTTCTGTCAGCTCCCCCATTTTTAGGGGACCCCGATCTGGCGGGTCTGTTTCCACTACTGGAAGAAGCTTGGGTCTTCCTCTGCTCTTGTGATGTATCGTTGCTAAGATCGAACAGCCGTTCGGCTGTTGCGTAAGCAGTAGGGATATCTTATACCTTCTGTTCATACAGTTTGGCCTGGGCCCATGGTTTCAAGCCCTCCACGAAGGCGAAGACCTTGTCTTTCTCGGACATATCGTGGATTTCCAACATCAACCCTAAAAACTGCTTTACATAGTCTCGAATATTTCCTGTGTGTCGTAATTCAAGCAATTTACGACGGGCAAGGATCTCTACATTCTCCGGGAAAAATTGGGATCTAAGTTCCTGCTTTGGTTTTTCCCACGTGTCGATGGTACATTTGCCCTCTTGTACATCTACATATCTCGCTCTCCACCACAACTTCGCACAGCAAGATGCACTGTGGCACGTAAAGGAACAAAATTCATTTTAGTTTTTATTTGGTTTAATTTGTCACTTATCCCTCTTAAAACTCGTGACCTACCACAAAAAAAATTCTAACGACCTAGTTATATTATATCTAAAATATATCTTATTTTCTTCAAAGTATGAAAATTATCATAGAGGAAAGATTTTGAACTTCTAACTTAAAAAAAAAAATACTAAATACGACTCTGAGTTATACATATTCAATCAAGTTGTCAATATTTAAAATTTATGAGAAAATGTTAAAATAATTCTTTTTTGAGTATCAACCATAATCTAGTTATAATAATTCCTTTAGTATAACATGTAGGGTGGATGATCGAACTCACAACCTCTTGATTGGAGATTATGTCAATTACTGTTAAACTATGCTCGCTTTGACAATTAAAATTGAAAATTAATAATAAAATTATAATAATCTGTATAATTTAGTGGATAAGATATTTATTACGCTTCAATTTTCCATATAACTTAGTGGATAAAAATTTTATTAGCTTCAATTTTCATCAAACTCGTTTTGACCTTGGATGCAGTACATTGGAATCCTGCTATTTATAGTTTCACAATATTTTAAAAGCAGACCTTGATGATAGTTTAAAATACCCACGTGTGATAGATGAAAGAAACATGGTGGGCCCGCTGATTAACGATGTTCTAGATTGATAGGCAATCCAACGATCAGCATTAAAGATCGGTTTCCCTACGACTGTGGAGTGGTCCACCAACCACCACTTTGACCCTTCACTTCGAAATCGCCGCCGCAACCTCCGCCCCAGCTGCAGTTTTTGTCCGGATTGATCATCAAGTCAAAGCTCCCACCACCGTCCGATTCACCGGCTCAACCGTCCGATACTCTTGGAACCAACAAGCGGCCGTCGGCGCCACCGGACCCGTCACGTGCTCGCAGCGTGCCGATAGTCGTATCTTCCGACTCGTCGGCTGACCACGTGGCCTGGTTGCCACGTGCTTGCCCGCAGCCTTCCCACAACTGAATCTGTCAGAAAAAACCAAAAATTGAATAAAAATATTTTCCCCCTATTTTTCTTTTTATTTGACCAATAAATAAATCTCGATTATCTGCCAATTTCCAAAATTGCCCCTACGTGTACCTTTTCAATTTTAGTCTTAAAATAATTCATTTGGCTATTGAGATATTTAATTTGCCACCTCCTTGGATTGTCTCCATTATTTTCCCAACCTCTTCGACATTAAATCACATATTTAATGTGATTTGACACACGATTTTAATCTATTAATTATGGAAACTTGTTGTCTAAGATAATATTATTAATTATTTATATACCTTTTTAGTTCATTAGTTTATAATATATATGTGTATATATACTATACATAGAAATAGGATGATGGGGAAATAGTTTGGGATTATAATAGTATCATATTTTAAGGAAATTTTTAAACTAAAATATTCAATGCAAATTATTTAATATTTAATATTGAGAGTTTGATTAAATGCTTTAAATCCATTCATGATCCAAGGATGTATGTGAGTGTCTCATACTTTATATTTAAAATAATTACCCCAAATTAAGGTGGATCTTGAATATTGTTCAGTAGTTAAGCTTGTGCTAAATACTGGAAAGGAGTTTAAGAAAAAATTGCCTCAGTTTAGTGTATTTTATTTAATATTTTTCATGTACTTTTTTCAGATTAATAACTAAAACAATGTTTATATAATGTACATTATGAATCTAAGTTAATAATAATAATAATAATAATGAAGCATACTTATAAAACTAGTAAGTAAGATCGAAAAGAATTCTATTCCATGTACTTTAAATTGTTCATGGGAGAAGAAAAAAATATAATTTATCATTTTCTCCCACGTGTGGGATATTGTTTATAAATAATATTTGTAATTTAATTTAACTTATTCAGAAATTGGCGAATGGAAATCTTAATTTCTGATTTTTATGAGAGCAGCAATCAACATTGTACTTTAAAAAAAAACGCTAACCAACATTCATTTTTAAAATAATTGAAATAGTTTCTTATATTTTATAAATTATAAAGTTGCTCCTTCAAAATTCAGCACCACTGGAAACTTTTCTGAGATTTAAACAATACATTAAACAGTATTTAAATAGTAAATGCCTTTAATAATGATTATAATAAAGCCAAAAGGCATCAAAAATGCAAATACACGTAAGCTTATCCAATAATATCTTAATGTAAATTAAATTGAGCGCCAAATTTGGTGCAGGTTTTAATAAATAAAAAGAATGCGACCCTTTCCAGCCAGTTGTATTGTATCCAAATCCGGAGGAAACCACTTTTTATTATTAAGCGGTTTTATCTGAACGACTCTGTTGTTTTAATAATGGATTAAAGTGAAATAAAAAACAATAATGGATTAAATTATAATTAGGACTGCTTTAGAAGATAAGCATGAAAAAAAGTTTAGGATTTTTTGGACTTATTCCTAACCAGTCTCCATTTTGTCAATATAATGATAAAATTAAGGTTTAAATACGATTTTAGTATTCCAAATTTTAATTTGATTCATTTTAATCTATATAATCTCGAGACATTTATTTTAGTATTTATAGTTTATAAAATGAATCAATTGAATTAATTTATTTTTTATCTCATTTATTTCAATCATAATTTTTATATAATACACACAGTACTTATAGTTTATAAACTGAACAAATTGAATTAATTTATTTTTTTTATCTCATTTATTTCAATCATAATTTTGTATTTTTATTTATTGTATATATAATTTGTGTTAACCTTTGGACTAAGTTAACTACTTAAAAAAAAATACCGAAACCAAAATAAACGTTTTAAAAGTACAAAAAACTAAAATGGATCAAAGTTGAAAGTATAATTATCAATAAACAAAAATTGAAAGTACAATCATAAAAAATCAACATTGGAAGTACATGAACTAAAATAAATAAAAATAAAAATATATAGAATAATATTTTAAACTTAAAATTAATTATTACTTTGTTTTAAAAAACAAATTTTATTTTTATTTTATCTACATATAAATATATTTTTAACAAAATTACGGTGGAGGTGTATTATGTTATTTAAATTCATAGACTAATTAATTTTGAAATCATTTTTCTTAATTTAAAAGTTTTTAATTGATATAGGCTCCACACCTAAGAGACGTTGTAATTTTTCTATTCATATTAGATAGCAATATCCACCACAAATACGGTTGAAATCTCGTAGCTTTGTCCGCTAAGAATAAGTTCAATTATTTTAATTTATTTATACATTTGGTTTAAAAATTCTTCATTATGACTATTAATTATATTATATGTTTATTATTCTTTTTGAACTAAAAAAAACATTAACAAATAATCAAATTTAGTTAAAAGGATTAGAATATACTTAAATTTATAAAACATTGATATAAATATAAAAAGAATCCACGAAATGGAATTATTCAAATCTCTATTATGATAGAGGTGAAATAATTGGGAATTAAATAAATGGAAGCATATATTAAAATGGATGAGCTCTAATTTAATAAAACCACTTTTGCCTAAATTCTTATAAGAAGAATAAAATCAGTCAGATTTGGATTTCATCTGCTCCAAATTCCAATCCCTTCGGCCTCAAGATTCCAATTCTCCGTATTAATTTCCTCAAAAAGACGGCCACATACATTTTTACGGTGGGAATGAGAATTTAATTCCCAGTTCACAAAAATCATTATCCTAAAGCTGTCTTTCCTAAATTCGATTGCCAAACAGACCCTAATCGGGGACACAGCCACGTTATTTTGGTACAAGTTGAGGTTATTTCAGTCATTTAATAATTTCGGATATGTTTTCTTTTAAAATCTTTTTTTGTTTATTTAATCTTCGCTGTAATGGTAACGTAAATAGAACTCGGTCACGGACACGGATTCTGTGAATATCGTAGGAAGCTCTCCCTGTTCCTTTCAATCTCTCCTCACCAATTCCCTGTTCTTCTTTGACACTTCTTCTTCGATTTTTTTGTCGTAATTCCACTTCGATTGCGGGGCGTTTTCTCCTTCATCTCTCAATTTCAGCTCAACTTCTATAAATCTGTACATATTGTTCTATACGATCTAGAAATTTTTGGTTGTTTTGTTCTTCCTTCGTTAATTACTTCGGTACCGATTCTCTGCTTTCCGAGGGCAAAATTTCAGGTCTCTCAGAAAGTTGATGCTCTTTGATTCGATTGTAGTACTGATCTGGGTTTATCGATTAGGTTAGATTAGTGGGTCATTGAGGAAATTTTTTGTAGTCTATTGTTTATTTCTTTCATCTCTTCTCTGTATAAAATTGTTCGATTCGTGGTACTTCTGTTAAGGTTGATACCAATTTATACTTTCCGGGAAAGAACAGTTTTCGGTCATTTCAGAAAGTTGCTCGTTCTGTAATCATACGCACGTATATTTTTCCGTGGAATTGGTAACGGATTAGCGAGGAAATTAGTTCGGTCGTTGAGGAAATTTGATTCGAACAGAATTGTTTTCTGATCTCAAGAACTTATTTGGGTGTGCGACTGCGATCTGAGCGGGAGACGAAAGTGACTTTTTGCCCTAGATCATGGGAGTTCCAACTATAGCTCTATACGCGGGCCCAGCGAGCAGTATTTGCTCTACGCATCCTTGCCAGATCAATGCTCATGCATCATTCGATTTCGAAATCGGTTCTCGATCTTCGTCGGCGCCGTCAACGGCATCCGCATCCCAGAAGCCGGCGGCCGGTGGGCTGTCGTGCCTATTCTCCGCGTCCCCGGTAAGGCATGTCTCATCGACGGCGGGCTTTTCCGGTTGCGGGGAGGAATTGGGATCGTTATGGCATGATAGAGGGGAGGACTTGAGCAGCTCATTTCGATATTCTTCGAGCAAATATTTGGGGTCTTCATTGACTAGGGATTCGAGCCCGGTGTCGGTGTTTCAGGGACCGGTTTCGTGTTGTAGTAGTGGAGTTGGTTCGTCGGCGAAAAGTCCTCCGATGTGGATTTCGCGAGAGAAGAGTGGGGAAGTTAATTTCGAGAGCTCGATTGGAGTTGGGTCCAACGGGTTCTTCAATGGGTTCTTGAGGAATGCTTCGGGATCGTATGTGGATGTTCACAGGAATGCTCTCGATGTGAGCTCATCGGCTGTGCTCATGGATGAGTTGACTTTTAATTTGGAAGATGGGTTTGCGGAGTCCACTTCGGAGCCATACGCAAGGGATATGCTTCTTGGAGCACAAATGAGGCATAAGATCTTTCTCGATGAATTTGTGATCAAGGCGTTTTACGAAGCCGAGAAGGCGCATAGAGGACAAGTAATTGAATTCATTTTGATGAACTTTTTTCTCCTGTTTCAATCTGTGGCATGAGCGAAGATGATTGAATTTGTATGGTTTCTTTTGCAGATGCGAGCCAGTGGAGATCCATATTTACAACATTGTGTGGAAACGGCGATGTTGCTGGCATTGATCGGTGCAAATTCCACGGTGGTGGCTGCTGGGCTTCTGCACGATGTGCTGGATGATTCTTTCATGTGTTATGACTACATTTTAGGGACAGCCGGAGCTGGGGTTGCTGATTTAGTTGAAGAGGTGAGCAAAATTTTCTTTCATAATCTATGAAGGTTGATTGGATTTAATGGCTCTGAGCTCTGGATATGTGACCACATGGGGAGTGTGTTTTGTGATTTAACTATTATTAGAGCGTGTGGTGAAATGAAATCATTGTGGTTAAATTGTGGATCTGTATTAGAACTGATCTTAGTTTGCTTTTACCTGTTGGATGCAATCTTTTGGTTCTCAAGTTTTTATTTTCTCATACAGTTCTGTCCTATGCGTTTTATACTCTCGACATTACTCCAAAGTTTTTGTATTCTAAATTTTCACTTTGTAATGGGTTTAGGTGTCTCAGCTAAGTCATTTGAGCAAACTTGCACGTGAGAACAATACTGCCAACAAAACCGTCGAGGCAGATCGCTTGCATACCATGTTCCTTGCCATGGCAGATACTCGGGCTGTTCTTGTTAAATTGGCTGATCGTCTACATAATATGATGACATTAGATGCATTGCCATCGACAAAACGATTAAGATTTGCCAAGGAGACTTTGGAAATTTTTGTACCATTGGCTAATCGCTTAGGAATATTGAGTTGGAAGGAGCAGTTGGAAAATTTATGCTTTAAGCATCTCCATCCTGAAGAGCATAAAGAACTGTCGTCGAAACTTGTGGATTCATTTGATTCTGCAATGATAACTTCTGCAATTGAGAAATTAGATCAGGCTCTTAAGGATGAAGGGATTTCTTACCATCTCTTATCTGGACGCAATAAGAGCTTATACAGCATTTACTTAAAAATGTTGAGGTACGTTCTCTCTCTACTCTCCATTTCACCTCTAGTCTGTTGCATATTCTATTTAACAGCCAAAATCCTTAAGTTTTCAGCTTTGGAAATAAACATTTTTATGGTGAAAAGAACCCAGATCTTAAATAAGTCTATCAAAACTTCAAGTTAAAGAGCTTGTTTTTCCATGATCTGATGGTTATGAATTCTGACATGAATCTTGCATAGTGATGGCTCACTAAAAGTGTGCACTTTTCCTTGTTATTTACAGAAAGAAGTTGACCATGGATGAAATCCACGACATTCACGGCTTAAGGCTTATTGTAAAAAATGAAGAAGACTGCCAGAGAGCTTTAAGAATAGTTCACCAGTTGTGGTCTGAAGTGCCCGGGCGGTGCAAAGATTATATTAGCCATCCAAAGTTTAATGGGTATGTTGTGGCTCAAGAAATGGCAGCTTTTCCTGTGTTCTTTTTTTGTTTTCTTTCCATCTCTCTCTCGCATTCCACTTCTAACTTGACTGGACGATTTGAAGGTATCGATCTCTACACACGGTCGTGATGGGTGAAGACATGGCGCCCCTTGAAGTTCAAATTAGGACGAAAGAGATGCATTTGCAAGCTGAGTTTGGGATTGCAGCTCATTGGAGATATAAGGAGGGCGACAGCGAATACTCTCCTTTCGTCGTTCAGATGGTTGAATGGGCCCGATGGGTTGTCACTTGGCAGTGTCTGGCTATGAGCAAAGATGGATCGTCCATTGGCTCTGCTGATTCAATCAAACCACCCTGCAAATTCCCTTCTCATTCCGAAGGCTGTCCATATTCATACAAAACTCAATGTGATGGCCAGGATGGACCTATTTTCGTCATAACGATTGAGAACGACAAGGTTCGTTACCCCTTTTTCCTGTTACATTAGTGCTAGGTTCTTGATTTCGGTTGTGTGATGCAGTCTAACAATGACGATGTTTGAATACTGCAGATGTCAGTGCAAGAGTTTCCTGCAAATTCAACTATCATGGACTTGATGGAAAGATGTGGGCGAGGAAGTTCAAGATGGGCCTCCCATGGTGGCTTCCCCATGAAAGAAGATTTGAGGCCGAGGCTAAACCATGAGCGAGTGAACGATCCAAAGTGCAAGCTGAAGATGGGTGATGTGGTAGAGTTAACTCCAGCCATCCCCGACAAGTCATTGACGGAGTACAGGGAAGAAATCCAGCGAATGTACGACCGAGGGATTACGGTTTCAAACACGGGACCATCCCCGGCTGCTCCCAACACTGTTGGTTTCTGCAGCTGACCATACCTTAGTTTGCCTATGATATACGTTTAGTGATGATCAAATTATTCTTGTATATAAGTGGTCTTTGTACAGAACAACTCCCAATAGTTCTGTACCAAGAAATAGATGACTAACTGAAATTCAACAAAGTTCAAAATCATGGAGCTCATTCTTGTAGAATTTCATTTTCAGAACCTAATCTTTCTTTAATATGATGTCCTTAAAAAAGAAAACTTCATGTGTTGGCTTACATTTAATTTTGATTTTGACAGACAACTTTTAGACCCGTGATACCATGCCTCCACAAAAGTGGGAAAGAAACGTCCATATTCCATTCTCATTGATTCCTTTGGAATTGACAAAATGCTAGAAAGAGAGAATCACTGAAGTCTTTTAATTAACAGCAACAACGTTATATTATACAATAGATCCGGTTCGAACACGGTATGATGAGATCCAACAAAGCTCCAGCCAACTTCAGATGAACGTGTGTGAAGAACTTTTTCATAGGGGAAGTTGGGAGGAAGGCGACCAAGAAGAAAAACAACTATGTTATTTTTGGACGTTTTGCCAATGGGAAGGATACTCTCTGTGGGGTATGTTGTGGTACTTCTGTGCTTGGTTCTTGCGACGAAGCGAAATCGACGTTTTCCTCCTCTTCCGTTTCCTCCATGGTTTCAACTGGCTGCTTCTTTGGGATTGCCAGTTGGTAGTTGGGACTGACCAATGCGTCTAGGTCGGGCGGAAGGGCGATACCAGGCCCGCCAATTGTCCTTGGCAATGGAATTTTGTTCCTGTTCCTGGCCAGCTCTAGAAGAACCTGACGGAAAAAAAAAAAAAACAGATGGTTAAACACTTTCTTCTAATGGGAGATAAGATAGCAAGGGAAATCCATTAATATTCCACATCTAAGCCTCCTTCGACACTACATGTTCTTTCACATACACGATTAGCTCACTTCTGGCTGCTGCTATTACTTTTATTTCTCATTAATGAGATGATGGTTCGGTTCTAAGCTGCAGTAACTTATCATAATTTCCATTTAAAAGAAAAAAACTTATCAGTCAATCGTATATAAGAGCTTTAACTGTTGTCCAAAAATTCACTCTAGAAATAAGAAGAATAGCTCACTTCTGATCACTATACAATGGTTCGGTTCTAAGCTGCAGTAACTTAATATGAATCCACAATTTCCATTTTGCTCGAATAATTTACATTTCAAAAGACATCCTATCAGTTAGTCCTATATCAGTGGCTCAGCTGTTGTCCAAAAATTCACTCTAGAAATAAGAATCGTCTTCGGTTAATTGGAAAACCACTTACACTCACCACCCGTTTATTACTTCAGTCAAAAGAAGAGAAATAAATTGCAACAAAAGAAGAGAAATAAATTGCATCTAGTTGGGTTGGGACTATCGAGCCATGTTACCTCTCTTGGAGGAGGTTGTGAGAAGCTGAAATTAACTTTTGACTGAATGGCAAGCTTCACATCATCACAGTCAATAGCAGCCTTGCATGCGTGCTCCGAGTAAACTTGTGCATCCGTCAATACATCAACGACATAACGGTACCACAGCTCAAGAAACTGGTGTATAACACGCGGTTCATAATCTTCTACTCCCATTGATTTCAGAAGTGCTTTCACAATCCTTGCATCCCTTGGCAGGTCCTCGTCCCCCTCAGTCACTTCCTTACTGCCCCTTTCACCTGCACAATAAATTTACATCTCTTGTAATTTTCTAAACTGATAGTCCACAGAACATAACCAGCTTGTTTTACACTGTAAATTTGAGAAATTATGAAGTGATTAATATTACAGGTTCAAACCCTTCATGCTTATTTTCTGTTTTACTCTCTTCTCTAAATTTTTCAAAAAAAAAAAAAAAAATTTGATACAGAATAGTATATTAGGAAATTTAAGAACCAAAATAAAAGAAACGTATAGGTCTGTCTAGTGATCAAATAGAATTTAAACTATGGTATGAAAAATCCCAGTCAATTATCACATACAGCAATACATGGAGATGAATTCAATGGCTTTCATTGATAACATTGTTTTGGAAGGAGTAGTAGGTAGATGGAAGATCCATTGTTTGACCTAAAAGCTTGAAAATAAACAGAGGACGAAAGCAAATTGGCCTCTCAAACTAAAAATCCATTGCCTATCAAGATTACAGTACCTTCCAGCAATGTGAGAAAACGAAATTTCTAAATTGCATGCTACCTTTTTGCTTCAAGAGCTATGATTCAGCAATTCGAGAATGGAAAAACATAAAAAGAAACCCACAATCAGATTTTCCCTCCCATCTATGAGGGATCAAACACGGAAAATTCGACCGCTAAACAAACTTAAAAATCAATTCTGGACCCGTTGCCCTAAAATCTCAGAACACCTATAAGAATTGAATAAAACTGGACAATAAGTAAGGATCATGAATGGAAGAGAAATAAGTAGAGACATACCCAGTTGTGAAGGTCGAGCTTCGGGAGAGAAATTCGTGTTTTGGTTGTCATATCCACCTCCAGTTCCACGACTCATCGTTTGGAGAATTCAAACCACAAAGTTCGTAGCCCTAACAAATACGGGGTGTTAACGATCCCGTTTATCAGTAAAATCGAAACTGAAGGAACCGACCGAAAATAAACTTAAAAACAAACAAAATTTGCGTCGAAACGATAATAGTCTAAAGCAGCGCCGACCGAACTGAACTACAAAATGAGGGAGAGACAAATCGAGAGTGGTGAAGGAACTTGAAAAGTGCGACGGAGGGTTAGAATGGTCATAATGTTTTTTTTTGGACAATGTTCATATTGTAATTCAATAAGGTCATATTAATATATGCCCTTGCAAGGAGGAGGAATATGAAGCCACAATTTTTAAGTAGTTAGATTGCTACAGCAGTGATAATTAACGTATATCTTCGAAAAAGGTTGTGAGTTCGATCTCACCCTCACATTACTCAATGAAAAGAAAAAGAAAAACTAAGTATCTATATTTCATGAAAAATTATTTGATTATCATAAATAAAAAGTTAGAATAACGTAGTTGACGATGTTTTATTTTAAACTTGATCACAAGATAGTTAGACATGGGTAGGATTTAATTTAGGTTAATATATATTTGTCTTAATAATTTTATCATTTTTTTAGTTCAATAATTGAAGGGTGAGAGATTCAACGTTATTTTTAAATTAAAATATAATATATTTACAACTTAGTACAAAACATATCTTATTGTCAATTTTTAAATTAAAATATAATATATTTACAACTTAGTACAAAACATATCTTATTGTCAATCACATCATCACTTCCTCAGGGACTAATCTCTCTTTATTGCTGACCTACAACACATTAGAGGAGGTCGTATTCGAGACGAGACATCGATTATAGGAATAACCTACGTGAGTGTATTGCTGACCCCATAATTCATTCAAAGTTATGTCTGCCGCCCTTAATTGTAATTGTATTATAGAAAGTTAGTTGTTTAGAATAGAATGTATAACAAAAAAGAAATCCCTAAACATACATACACTAAACTATTAGTACTTCGGCATACAAAACCTAGATTCGTAGAATTGATCATATGTTTAGATTTTGAAAAATACAAATTGTTCTGGACTAATTAAAAGCATTTTTCATAATTCTTTACTATATATAAGTCACCCATCAAATTGTATTTTGTTGAAGTGGATGGTTTAGAAAGAGAAAATTGTGTATGTGTGTTGAAACCAATAAATTTGACCAACACGTGAACAAACAAGGCAAACATGTGTTCAACGTCTCAAGTCAAACTCTCACTGTAAATGCCCGGAGTAGACTCGAGGCAGGGGTCAGACTAATAACTCGAAAGGGAATGCATGAACTGCAAACCATTGAGCTGCCATCACTTGTCCTTTGGAGAGAGTTTCATCTTCAAAGGCATTTGTAAAAAGATGTCAAATTTAAAAACACTACTACTCGAAGAAGCATTAAAAACTTGTCCATTCTGTGCTGTTGAAGACAAATGGAGGCAACAATCTGGCTCCTTAAACTAAGCTTCCTTATTAAAAAAAACTAAGACTTGGTTTCAGCTTACAAATGACACAAAAATAAGAACTCTGTTAAATACCATCAAATGACTCAAAAGAACCAAAGCAGAAAAGAAAAGAACTTCTTATTTGTTGTATGCTGAGGAAGCTCAAACTTCATGGTTTGCAGCCATTATTAATACAGAGAATCTGAGAAAACATGGACAACCTCAGAATTTTGAGCATTTTCCCAGCTAGTTAGAGGAATTCGTTGGGATTTTCTTTGCTTTGAATGAGAGGAACACCGTCTTCTCTCCAAACGATCCGTTCTTCGCACAACGCTGCTACTACCTCGACATATAGACAATGCTCCTCCTTAAGAACTCTAGCTGCCAGATCCTGTGCTGCATCATTTGCAAGCACAGGAACTACTCTTTGAGCGAGAATCCGTCCAGTGTCGAAGTGCTCATCAACAAAATGAATCGTTGGACCCGAATATCGGGCTCCAGAGGCAATCACTGATTTATGCACCTTCATTCCATAATAACCTTTGCCTCCAAAAGCAGGAAGAAGTGATGGGTGTATATTTAGAATAGATTTGGAATAAGCTTGGATCAATTCTAGTGGTATAAGTTTTAGGTATCCAGCAAGAAGAATGAAATCAATCTCGAGCCTTCTAAGGTTAGCTACAAGGTCAGAAGGAGACAAGCGATCAGGTTCATCTTTTGTTTTGGGGAACAAAATAACTGGAATGTTCTTAGATCTTGCATATTCTGCACCACCGCAATCGATTTTGTTAGTAACTAAAACAACAATATCTCCGTTGATCGATCCTTCGAGAGACGCCTCGTGTATGGAACGGAAGTTGGAGCCTCCGCCGGAGACGAAGACAGCAAGTTTTTTCCTCCTAATTACAGTTCTAGAAACTTCCCCTTCAAGACTGACCCTCACAACCATTTGAGAGTTCTTCTTAACACCAACATTCTTCTTGAGCCAAACACTAGGCGAAGTCGGAACAGATGATCGGGCGAAGGAACAAGAAGAAGCAGAAGGAAGCTTCAGAAGGAACGAAAGTTTAGGAGATCGAAAGAATGAAACAGATAAATTTGGGCAAAACCGAGAGAAAGAACACTGAGCTTCCATTTTTGGCTAATTCGACAAAAGAAACTATAATCTCAATTGGTAAGGATGAACAACCGAACCAGTGTCCATGATTATGCAAAACCGATTTCCAATGGTTCGATTTGAGCATACAGATGTTCATCCATTGTAAGGAATGGAAATCGAGAGACAAATATTGGAAATAGAGAGAGAATACCTGAGACAAAGAGAGAGGAGGATGCGGCAAAGGCGATGGTGAAGGGAGGCGGAGGGTGGGCGGCGCCGGCGAAGAGCACGGCGGAGGAGGCGGCGGGGATGGTGCCACTGAACTGCTAGCAGGCGTGAAGATGGAGGAGAGCCATGAGGCGGCCAGGGTTTAACAATTTCTTTTTTGTTTTTGTTTTTGCTTTTTTAGTAAATAAAGTATGATTGGGCCGTTGGGTTGGATAAGTATGAGAAATGGGCTTCGTTAAAATTTTCAAACCCAAAATTTACGAACTCATGAATTATTAGAAGTCACGTACGTGACAATCTAAATTTGTTAATTAATTGAAATTCTTTCTAATTTAATCTCGTTTTCAATATTCCAATCCAAGTAAACGGGAGGAAATTGATATTGACGAAGCAACACAACACGGGCGAGTTACTTGCACGGAAATTCGCCCGCTTCCCAATTTGTGCGTATCTCGTCTGTGTTGGTCCGCGTTATCTCCCGCCATTCGCCGGGAAACCGCCGCCATAACCGCCGCCGCGGTGTTTCTTTACTTGCTCGGCGGTTGTGCCGGCCACGGTCTCCGCCGCATTGAAGGAGGGAACTTTTTTCACCCCTCAGAGACCACCGAATTCACTCATGTCCTCACCGGAGCATGCCCTAGTCTCCCTACTCTCCCAGTTTGCTTTCTCATTCGATGGAGCCGTTTTGGGCGCAGCCCTAGCTTATGCTGCCGTACGTACCGTCCTCAAACTCACTACTTCCCGTTCCGCTCTCAACAATCTTCGCGAAGCTCCTAATGTTAGAGTTTCTGATCTCCGCTCCGACGGGAATTCGAAGCAATCCGAGTCCGATCAGAAGCTTGTTGTAGTTCGTGGCACCGTGGAGGCCAAATCGTCTGTGGAAGGTAGTTGGAAGAGCTTACTGCCCAATGTATTGATTTCTCAAGAGTCCGGAGATAGAGCGGTGATTATTCAGCGTACTCAAATGGTAACTCCTTTGGTATTTCTGTTAGACCCTGCTTCAATTTCTCAATTTTCGAGTAATTGGAAGAGCTTACTGCATAATGTATTGGTTTCTCAATAGTCGAGTAATTTGATAACACCACTAGAATTGCAATTTTGTTTTTGGGCGACAACCTATGTATGTTAATTTTTTATTTGCACATTACAAGGTCTCTTGTCAAGGTATTCAGTTCAAGAGGCAGTAATTAAATGACTATAGTCCGGCTGAACAGTGAAAGAGAAGGATCTCTGATCGAGTGAAATGGCCGTTGAATTCATCTGCATAGGTCTTCTGGCTTGCATGATTTTGATCTATCACTCATTTATATATAATCAACATAATTTCCGTATGAATTTAATATTGGGGAAATTGAATCCCTCTTTTGCTGGGATTAACTATGTTAACCTCACTGGTTCAGCAAGTGTTTGTTTTTTGTCCCCTTTGTTATTCAGTGTATGGATGCGTGTATATAATATCCCGTTCTGAAAACTAAAGTGTCTCCTTGTGACATTGTTTAGTGCATATTCAACGAATGGAAAGGCTTTTTTGGATGGACTTCTGATTTACGTGCAATTTTTGCAAGATCCTTTAGAAAGCAAGAGTCAACATCACTTAGAACGGTAAAGTCAAGGCTTCTCTCTGTTATTGCTATGGTTGATTCGCTCATTTCATTATCCTTAATTTAGACAAAATATCTTTTCGGTATATATAGCCATGTACCTTTAGGTTTGTAAGTGTCACCTCTTAAGAAATGGATCTAAACAGGGTAGGCTTGAACACATGCCTAATAGTGTCAAGAAATTAGTAGCTTACTTATTGTTTAATAAAAACTAAATCTTTTATCTACTTTATATGAGATTGATGTGTGGCCTTTGCGCTTCCTCCAGCTCCGGCTATGGTTGTGATTTTCCTAAGTAAAGTCTATATTTTAGATATCTGGTTGAGCAGCCAGGAACTATATCCCAATGGTGATTATACTAGAACTAAATGCAGTTTGCATATTCAGTCTTATGTGATGCTGATATTTGAGAAATTATTAACAGGTTCCTTTTGTCCTTGTTGAGGGTGGTTTGCTGCCGTATTCTAATTTTGTTGTTGTCAACATGGATGGCTCAAGACATCCCTTGCCTCTTACAACAGTGTATCATCAACTGCAGCCCGTTTGTGCTACTCCTTATACATTCCTTCAGGCACTTTTTGGTCATGAGTACCCTGTGAGTTGGGCGATCTATATCCAGAAATTTTCATTGAAGTTGAACAAATTATTTTATAAGGATTTTAGCTAAAAATTCTTTATCATGCTCGATTTTTGAAGGTTGGTGTGCTTGATGAGGAGAAAATACTTCCAATAGGAAAAGATATCAGTGTTGTTGGCGTATGCAGTTTTAGAAATGAAATTCCTGAGATAAAGTCATGCAAGGATTTTCCCTTTTTCCTGTAAGTTTATACATTTTGAAGTGAAGTAAAGTTGAGAAGGCCGAGATTACATAACCTAATTTATATAGGTAGATCATAGATGCATATCATTTATTTTTTTCTTGACTCTGTCACATAGTTTTTTTTTTGAGGAGAAACTCAGTCATATAAATTAAAAATAAATGTGTTCTGTCTGCCAAGGGGCAAGCCCCATTGATTTGGGTTTGGGGCTCTGGATGGGATTTTAGCTAGGTCCTAGGATCAAGCCACTGAGTAGAAAGCTTAAAAAGAGAACTCATGTTGTCTTCTGGAGCTTCATGGAAAATTGTGTGGATTGGTTGCAGTTGTGTAGGTTCCAATATATATAAGCTCGTCTGGATTAGATGTGTAGGTCCCAATATATATATATATATATATAAAGTGCTCTAGTTGAATTGTGGATTTTGGTTTATACCCAAGTAAGTTAGTCAACACATTCTGTCTCGTCAGTGATGTAAACAAATGGCTAGTCTCTCCCCCACCCACCCGAAGTAGAAAAGAGAATCGATTGATTTCACTTTAAATGTGCATGACATGTATTGCGATTTCTTCCTTGTTGAATATGGGGAATAGTGTCTAATTGGACAAAACTATTCCTGTTTGTTCATCGAGATAATCTTCATTGGAGTAACTGGCTTTGCAGGTCCGAAATGACCAAGGATCAGATGATTTTGGATCTAGTCTTCAAAACAAGGTTACTGTTCTGGAGTAGTATTGTACTCGGTTCATTGTCAATTGGTATTCTTGGCTATTCTGTTACGAGGTATGTTTTCTTTCCTTCTTTTATTTTATTTTCTCGACAAACTGTCTTGAGGTTTACTGGTCTTTATATTTTAATAGGCAAAGCAATGCGCTCTTAATATACCTTCCATGAAATTTTGTTTTGCTTTGCACTATACTTCCTGGTGCATCTTTGTTTGTTGGACTTGACCTTATTGGTGAGGGGCATAAGTCTTGTCATAAATAACAATGGAAGCAGTATAGAAATCATTCTTCAGTTCTTTATTTATTTTGGTCTCGGCGTGAGTTTATTTTACTTTAATGAATTCACCAATGTTCTTTACTGAACCTCGAATGCGGGGATGAATAAAACTCACTGTGTAGCGCATGAATTATGAGACCGTCCCCAAGTATTATCCTCAAATTGTAGAAGTTTTAGCAAATATTCTAACTCATTAGGATCCATTCTCTTCAGAAATTGGAATAGATGGAAAGAGTGGAGGCAAGGGAGACGGTTACAGGATTCAAGCAATGATACTACCTTTGACAGTGATTCTGGAGCTACATCAGATGACGACGTAGCTGGCATTCGTCACGGTCCAAATGACGAGGTAGTAGACGTTCCAGATGGACAGTTGTGCGTGATCTGTCTTACAAGGAGAAGACGATCTGCTTTCATTCCATGTGGTCATTTAGTTTGCTGCGAACGTTGTGCCATATCAGTCGAACGTGAATCAGCTCCTAAATGTCCTGTGTGCCGCCAGCAGATCCGTAGTTCTGTGCGGATATATGATTCATGAGGAGAAACAAATTATCCTTTTCTGGTTACAAGTCTAACCATGACACATCTATGTAAGCATGCATGTGAAGTTGCCTCAACTCATTCATCTGTGTCACACCATTTATACTGATACTAGTATATTATATATGAGATTTTGTATCTGTGCAAGTGATTCCAGAGGGCAGTGGGATCCGGATGTCTTTTCCTCTTTTTTTCTTTTCTTTTTTTTTTAATATGGGGTCTGTTTTTTGAACATTGATGTCAGAGCTGGTTGTTAAAGAATTTCCAAAGCCAGATTTGGAGTGATAGCTCATGTAAATACCAGATAATGTCCTCTTTTTTCACTTTGTAACTTGCTGATATGTGATATGAAAAGAAACTTCAATATTGGCTTTGTTATTAGTACTCTTCTGGTTTAGGCATATATTATCGACCAAAAGGTTAGATTTCAAATTTCCATTTCACACGTTGATCGGGTATTTAAAACTGAAGTAGGAAGTTCTCTTTTGCCTTCTTGTTGCTTGGGAATTTGAGTTGAACAAGACTGCTCGTTTGACAATTTTGTTACAGTTTGATGAACTTGAAAGAAGAAGAAGCTGAAATCAAGAGATTATGGTAAGTTGTAGAATTAAATTGAAACACCCAAATTCCAAAACAAAGCCATAACTAAGCACAGAGATGGCAGAGATCAGCAATAAAAAACCAGCGGTTTGATTCTATAGCTTTCAGAACTCTGCACTGAAAATTATTGAAGAAGAAGAAGAAGAAGAAGAAGAAGCCATAACTGTTTTAACCGCCATTGGGTTTCGCTCCCAATTTCCAAAACGAACAAAACGAAATTGGCTGCCCTTTCCACCATAACCCCACGCATCCATCTTTCTCTTCCATTCTCATTTCCCAGTTATTGTCATATCTTCTCATGGAAGCTCGAGCCGTATCAATGGTGYCTTCTGCGAAGAATTTTCTAGCGAATCCTGCATTTCTCATTCTCTCGTACCATTTCTCCTTTTCCTCGTTCATTTCGCCCTGATTCGTCAACGCCTTCGCCGCCTCTCCTTCCATCACTCTTCTTTCGTCGCTTTCTCGCCCTTTGAATGCGGAGCTCGTCGAGTCCAGAAACCTCCACAAGTACTCCACTCGCCGAGTGAATGTGATGTCGAAATTCCCGCAGTTGCTGCAGCTACATGCTATGTTGTTTTCGCTCAGAATCACTGCATTTGGCTCCATTTTTCTCAGATTTCGTAGGAACTCTGTTCTTTCGTCTGGAGCGCGGTGTTTCAACTGGTGGAGTCTGAAGTGTGCGCAAACGATCAAAATTTCGTCCCGGAACTTACCGATTACTTGCGAATTTAAGTTCTGTAACGAGTGATTGTCGAGGCGGTTGATCTGTAAATTGATGTTCAAGGATTTGGCGAAACTAAGTAGCCGAGAGGAGATGTTGTCTCCCGGTGGACCAATGGAGAACGGCGTCTCCGCAGTTTGGTCGTGTTCGACGGTGGGAGCGACAACTGTGAGCCGAATTAGCGGCGGAGGCCCACCGGAACGGCGAGTCAAGGCCTCGAGCAGCGTCGGCCATTGCACACCGTGAGAAACCCCAATGTCAAGAATGTGAAGATTGCGCGAGAGATTAGGTTCTTCAGAGAGAGTGTGGAGGATTGAAGAATTCGCGATGTTGTTCGGAAGAGCAAACCAGGGACTCACCTCGTGGAATTTGATCAACGACCGCTGGAAGAATCGCGCGTCCGTCGAAGCGAAATTAACCACCGGCGCAAGTGTGGAAGAAGAAGATGATGAATTGGAGGACAGGTGATGGGCCAGAGCTCGGAGACCATGATCGGCGAGCCGGTGATTGGCGTCGCCGGTGGGGGAAGCGAGCTCTTGCAGAACACAAATAAGGTGATGTACTCGTGTCGCATCTCCTTTTATGATAGCATTTGCACAGGGATTTAGCAATTGCTCCGCCCACCTTCCTTCCTTGTTACTTCCGTTATTATAATTATTTCCTGTGGATTTTGATGAACTTTTCTTGTTCCCCACTGACTTCTTTACCACCCCCCCACCGCCTTTATCTGCACCATTTTTGCTCTGATTGTTCTGGTTCTTCCTTGGGTTCTGATGGGGTTGTGTTGTCTTATGACCTGTGTCATCTGGGGCTTTCCTTTTCTTTGACAAATCCGATGGCGTCAAACTGGTAGTGTTTGGTGGTGTAGTACTGTCTGTGGTGGCAGCGGCAGGGGAGCTACTGAGACAGCCATTAATCAGATCTTGGCCTATGTTTTGGCTCTCATCCCACCATTGATAGCAGTTTATAGAGCTAGAGTTGTAAGTCTCGTCCAGGAATGGGGAAAAGAAAGGAGCTGAATCCTCTAACCAGTCCAATATGTGATCTGAAGGGTGGTTTGGCCCTGGTTCTTCAATGGTCATTTTGCTTGGTGATCAAATATTTCAGAGAGAGGGGAAGAGGCTTAGAGACCCTTTTGATGGGAGAGGGAGAAGGTGGATTTAATCATTGACTAAAGATTAGGATAGAGCCAAATAATGTTTTCGTAGAATGCAATAAAATAAAGCAAGAGGTCACTTACGCCCTTTATAAACAGACAATGGTGGGGTATTTTCTAAGCTATTTGTGCTGTTCTTTTGGAGGATTTGATGTTTGGTTGAGGTTTTTAAAAGTTTATATAAAAGTCAGGTACTGTCTGTTCCTCAACCTGGGTTGTTAACTCATCATTCTTTTGTATTGTCAAAAATATGCAGTGGTGGTTGGGATCTATGAGTGGGGATTGGTGGGAGGAATCTTTGAAACTTTTAGCCATGGTTTTTTTTTTTTTGTCTCTCTTTTATTAAAATATTCGAAGTCTTTGTTTGCTACAGTTCCGAGCGCTGTTGAGGAGAGAGGCTTAAACGTATTAGTTATTTGTCCTTAGAATATGAAACATCTGTCTTAACCCCTTTTTGTTCTCCCCAAATATTGAAAAAATTATATGTCCTTAGTCATATTTTATTTGCATTTGTTGTTGATCTAGTGTCATGATTGGATGTCTGAGAAACTAAAGTTGACTTGAGCCTGGATCTGTTAGTTCATCAGTTTCTTTCATTCCTGTACCATCCTTCCTTATCCATCTACTAAATTTATCTCTGAACTTCCTCTCATGATTGCAAACATTCTACCTTTTGAAAGATTCTTTTCCCTTTGTTATCAGTAATGGTTCAAACTCGTTCTCCCATTTGATATGGTCATTTCTCTGTCATTTCAGCCCCAAGGACTCGTTTTTTAATTCCTAGTGGAGGTATATGTGGAAGCTGTTCTTTAGCTAAGATTTTTATCTGAACACGGATAAATGTGTATCTCGGACCATTCTGCTTGAATTTAAAAGATTTTAAGTTGAAGTCCAATCAATTTGGATATTGAAGTGCAAGAAACTGAATACTTTTTATCTTCTCAAAAGCAAATCAAGCCCATGAACACTAGAATTGGTGGTGGGGGGAAGGGGAGACACTGCTAGTCAAATCGAATTTAAAATGATAGCAACGGAAAAATAAACATGAATCCATTTTGTTTACTTGGAAATGCAGGATGAGTAAAGCAAGCGCATCGTTGGCCAATTCTAACCACTCCCGCCAAGAACAGCCTTAAGCTTTTTCACTTGATCCGGGTCGAGGAAAGTTGTCTTCACCACCAAGTCCGTGCTCAAGTCGTTGGCAAATAGTGCAAAGTCGGTGATTTGGAGGCCAGGGCTTGGGCTACTAAATACAGGAAAAGCAACGGCAGTCACCCCACCGGCATTAATCTGAAAATGCAGCAATCCTTGTGGGAAAACCATGAGGTCTCCCTTCTTCAGAGTCTTCACGTAGACAGCATTAGCGGAAGAGATAAAACCAGCCTCAACGATACCCTGTGTCACAATCAGCAATTCTGAAGCTCCTGGGTGCGTGTGAAGTGGTACAACTCCTCCAGGAGCCAAGTCTAACCGAGCAGCCGAGAGACCGAGGCCATTCACACCTGGGTACTGCTCCACAAATGCTGGGGTGACAGCAGCTTTGATTAGACTCGATATGTTTCCAGCAGCTCGTAAGCCTGAAAACACAAAGTCGTCTACTATCACCTTATCGGCGCTCTTGCAGGAGTAGCCTGCTGGCCCCTGTGGACCTTTCAGATCGCCAACGCAGAAGTCTTGAACTGCTGCATTGGAAAGAGAGAAGAGGAGGGAAATGATGAAGAGGGCGTGAAGCATTTTTGGGAGAGTGAGTTTGGTTACAGTGGTTTCCTTTTTGGGAATGGTGTAGTTTCTTGATGAGTTTCATGGGGTTTATATAGAACGTACGAATCGGTTCCACTACTGCAAGTTGCAGTGACATTCACTCAATGCCAGGATAGGAAGATTGATGAATGAATGAATGAGAGCCACATCATATGATTTCCTGATACATGTGGCTGTCAGTGAACCCTCAGAAGATCAGATTCTCAGAGAAAGAAACAGAAGTTCTCTTTTTTGCAGTTAATAACTCAATGATTGCTGGGGAAGGTGTTGGGAAGTAGAATAAAGAGGGAGATGAAGCAAATAGTGTTGGATTAATTAGCTACAATATGCTTACCATTCAGGATTAACACAGAGAAGTGGACCAAATAATGCACATGGGAAGTGGAAATCAGCACAAGAAGCCAACGTTTAGATAGCTAAGGACCAGATGAAGAGGCTCCATCAAGTCTCTCTGTCTTTCACATGCTTTGCAGAATTTTGTGGCCTAGAAGTGCCGTGACGTTTGGTTCAACACATCCCATTGCAGAATTTTGTGTACTGGAAAAGTAGGCCATTTTTTCCTGATCTGGAAAAATAACAGGTAACATTAATTCAAATGAGCTTGGAAAACAGTTAAAGGGAGATGGGGAAGGGCTGAAAAATCGTATCTTCTATTCCATTTGTAACAATTGTGCTATGATCCTCAACAGACTTCAGATGATTTGAGACTGTAAAGCCTATGAATCATAAATTGAAAATGTCCTCCTCCCATGGTAGATAACAATAACTCAAGGCCTATACTAATATGACTGCCAAATATTTTGTACAATTCACATTATGCCCATGTTTCAGATAATGCATCTTCATATTATACAGCCTAAAAAAATGCTTTCCAAAGTTGTATCACTAAGAACCATCACACTCCACACAGAAGTTCAGGTCCCCTCTGAAATGGCATCCTCTAGATTTCACTTTATTGTTGTATCCCTGAACTGACTCCGGGGTTATTCACCTAGTAGTTGGGATCCACGAGCATTAGTTTCAATTTCAAACATAGTTAATTCATCAAAACCGCGTTATTTGCTGCAGCAGCTGTGAACCAGTCGTCTGCGACAGTAGTTGTTCTGAACTCGGTGAAGGCCTCGTTAGAGTGTTGGCACCAATGGAGATTCCGACCCCTTGTCTGACAATCTCTCTTGGACTGTTTACATTTGTTTCGACACGGGAGGCTTCCTTCAATAGGCGTATCTGATGAAAATTCCCATAAGAAAAGAGTTGAGACAAATGATAAACGAAGAAATAGACCATAACACTTGCACATATAAGTTCAACTTACCATGTCCAGACGTTTCTTGTGGAGATCACTTGATAACTACAACATTTAAAATCAATATGGTTAAACAAAAACGAACTATAGAAAGTTAAATTAAACAGACTGCTTTATTTGATTTTGAGAGAAGAGAACAATAAAATTTTCTTACATTTTTGTTGTGGTTCTTCCACTCGTCACTTGAATATCCAGGAACGTTCAATTGCCAATTCTTCTCTGCACATTATCCACAATTTATAATTGTTAAAAAGCTTTGTATAATAACTACAAAATCAATACAGTTACTACCAAACATGAGGAATCAAGAAACTAACTACCTAGTGCACTTTTAGTCGAATAAACGTTAAAACTTGGACTACAAGTTCGAGTTAATCATGGTTTAAAAAAAATTCAAATAACAATGTCTCGACCGAATTTATTTCTTCCTTTTTTTTTTTCAGAAAAACTTAGACATATGCTACGTCCTGTAAATATTACTCATGAGATGGTGAGAAAGTGACAAGTCAAGAATTTAAATTTCGGATTTTTGCTCTAAGTTCAAAAGATAAAACATATCTTGGACCAATGTATTGCAATATCTACTCTTAAATTTATACAAAAGAATAATCTAATCCTTCCTAAAAGAAATTTGAAGAGACTAAAAAATCCACAAGAAGAAGGCATGTGTCTCAAAATTAAACTAGAGACAAATGTAAAATAAAAAGACAACCTAGACTATAAAATAGAACGCTAAAATACAACAGATAACCGTGACATAAGATAAAATTTCCCAAAAAAAAGTCTATTTTCATGAGATTTCTTTCTTTAGTCACCTTCAATAGCTTATCAAACAATTAAATTACCTTAATGCAGAAATAAAAATACCAGGGTTGGCATCTTAACTTTTGTGCCAATAAATAAAGTGGCAATGTTCCCTGTATCTAGAACAGAATAGCTGAACATTTTCGACCATTATATGTTCACTTTCAGAATTTTTTTCATTACTTCATAATTATCATGAAGAATTGATACTCTCCGAAATTTAAAATTTAAATCAGAAAGGGTAACCATAAGCTCAAGTCAAAAGAAGATCATGAGGAAAGTAGTACACACCTAAGTGTAGCAATAAATCCTTGGATTCTAAAGTTGAAGATTTCCGATGTTTTGCCAGACTGCAGGCAAATGTAGTAACCTGTATTATGATAAAACAATTCTCAGTTCCGGGTCGGGATCCGGTGCCTGGAGTAGGCGTGGGCGCCCCTAGGTATAGGAGAAGCAAAGCTCTGACTCCCAGTTATTAAAAAAATAATAATAAAACAATTCTCATTCTCAGTTTGCACATGATAGATCATTCAATCATACTGACAGATGATAATAGCTGATGATTGAGCCATGAAATTAACATGAATTATTGCATACTGCTAAATAAATAATACTGCAACAGAAGAAACATAATAGTTAATCCACATGATCGAGAAAACCATCCACCAAAAGGACCCTAATGCCACTCACTTGATTTCTTGTATAACCTGAAAATGGTAATGGTATAAGATAATAACAAGAAAATAGCTTTCAAGAAGAGGCAGATTTTAACAGGACCTAAAGGTATCCATGAGCATTTGTTTTCTAATGTTCTCATGAGAGAGCTTTTCACAGGTTTTGGTTGGTAGAAAGAAGGGAGAACAATAAGCACTAGAGAGTTCGCGGCTCAAGGGTGGCTCTTTATCATGGATCTCTTCGGGTTGTCTTTTTGTTTCCCTAATCGTATAGATGTTTGGTTGGCCGAGGCACTGCATGGCTGGACTCTTCCTAAAAAAGTTAAGTTTTTATGGATATGTGCTTCGAGAGCTCTCCTTTGGCACCTTTGGTTGGAAAGGAACCTTCGGTTCTTTGAAGATAAGTCTTCTTCTTTTGAGATTTTTTGTAGAAATATACAGCACTGCCTCTTGGTGGTGCATCAACTATAGCAAATTCTTTTGTAACTACGACCTTTCCATGCTTTTGTACAATTGGAAAGCGGTTGTTTAATTCATTTGGGTGGGGTTTCCTCTACCCAGCCCTTAGGTTGTTCCTTTTGTCTTCCTTTTGGAATATACTAGTTTCTTATCTAACAAAAAAATAAGCACTAGAGAGTACAGTAGCATATTTCCATTAAACAGATAATAACAAAGGAATAGACTGATCAGTCCAAAAGAGTGTATATACCACTCTCCCCGTACCAATGGCTGATCACATTATTTATATGAAAAAAATCCCAGAAGTGTACCCTTAAAAGTTAAGCAGAAGGTTGTCATTACTACAAAATCTAACAAGTCACTGCAGCACCTATATTACTAGAAATTATGCTTATTCATATAGTGCTGTCATGTAATAATTCACATTAGTACATTACTCAAGGGTTGGTCATAGCACATCAAAATAGGGCCATTGATTCAAAACCCTCCAACTACCACCTTCAATATCTTATGAGTTTTCTGATTTGATGCAGTACAGTTCAACTATAATCTTCGTTTTAACCATGGTATCATATAAACTACCACAGTGATCAAAGAAATGGTCGAATAATTTCAGGCATGAGGAGTATTGTCAAATCACACTGCACAAGAATCACTAAGTAAACAGAATGAACAAATATTTGGACTTGATCAGATTAGAAAAACATTTAAAAAAAAAAAATCATCTGAGTTCAGCTGTGTAAAATGAAACATCATACCACAGTGCATATAAGATGTTCCTAGACCATAGTTTTCTGGTGATTAATGAGCCACGGAATAGCATACTGTTTCTGTAAATACTCGAACATGATCTCTATGACATTATGCAGTGATTTTTTTTAAATTACTTTCAATTGTAAATGTTTTTCGATATAATATAGTGTTCCAAATAGTGAATGACAAAATTTTGATGTGTATTGACTATATCTAGGGGCACATATGCAGTTATCGTAGTATGTATAAGAAATTGGGGGGAAAGGTACAAAGAAGCATGAAGAAATTGTAGTAGTACTAGGAGGTCTCACCGAATCAATAAAATCATCGGCAAACTCCAATAGAAGATCTTCAACTTCAGGGTCCAACTTTCCATGTGGATCTACCTGCACACATTCAAATTTCTGACTAAAGTGAGAACAAAATAAGAAACGCAGAAGAGCATAAGAAAGATAAGAGTAGGATAAGCAAGGTGAAAAGTCAAAGGCAGAACCTGTGAAACCAGATCTTGTATCTTTCTCTTCCCAAGGACTTGAGTGGCAGCTTCTGTCCCTTGGCTTGAACTTCCCCCAGGTGTACTATTGCCAGACGCAGTAGCATCTGGATGCGATCCAGTCAAACTAAGAGATTTCTGGCCTGCAATTCCAGGTATCCTAGGAGAATGCTGCTGATGCTGATGCTGATGCTGATGCTGATGCAATACTGGTTGCAGCGCTTGCTGTGGTGATGGTTGTTGAAGAAGCTGTTGTTGTTGATGAAGTGGCTGCTGCTGTAGCTGTTGTTGTTGTGGTTGCTGCTGTTGTGATTGCTGCTGTTGCTGTTGCTGTTGCTGTTGCTGTTGATGCAGCTGTTGATGTCCCATGGACGACTGTGGCTGTACAAGCTGAGAAAATTGTTGAGGGTTCAAGGACATGGAGTTTTGATGCAATTGAGTAGATGAAGGCAGTTGCTGCTGCAACAAGACCTGTTGCTGCCTCTGTTGAAGACGATATGAAGGTGAGCCAGGGCTAGACATTGATGGCATTTGCTTCAGCCACTGTTGCTGTGGCAAAGAGTTCTGCAACATAGTTTGCTGCCCATTCTGAGCCAAACTAGTCAATTGCTGATTCATAAATGCAAGATTTGACATTCTCGGTAAGTTCTGAACCTGTAATTGATAAAAATTGACTGGATGTCACAATCAGCAGCAATTTTACAATTAATAGTTGCCAGTGCTACTCACAAAAAAAAAAAAAACGATAGCAAGATTGCATAGTAAGATTATTAAATCAAATTAACATATTAACGTATCCATTCAAGTAATGAAGTGAAATTGAAGTTATTGCTATAACAAAGTCGAACGGACTGAGTTAGAGCACATGATGGACAAATAAACAATGATGGCAATAATTAGAGTCATAGCATGAACCAAAATAATAAAGGAGAGTGTTCATGGGCACCACTTGAAATTAGAGACATGTACTGATAAATAAATTAGTATATCCTATGGGCACTATTTCTAATCGAGAAATGCTCAGCTTTACAACAATAAGTTCTATATTTATAATGCAATGAACGCTTAGCATTACAAAAATAAGTTCTATGTGATAAAAGCCGGAGCCCTACACTTCTATTAGAGTCAATAAAATAATATCCTTCATGAATTGCAAAAATATGTTCCAAGCAATCACCAAAGTAACCAAACAAATCATTAATCTGCCATGGTTCAAATAGGCAAATGAGCCCATATAGAAATCTAACAATACGTATCTGGAAATAAAAGCACAAACCCATTATTATAATAAAGAACATGAGATGCAGAAATAGAGATGTGTTTCATGAAACCTGTGGAGAGGTGAGTGAACTTTGTTGAGACAATTGCTGCCTTATTTGACCTTGATTTATTCTCTGTTGGGCAAATGACGCAAGGGTACCATTAGCTCTTAGTTGTGAGCTCAAATTCATTGATCCCATCATCCCCATTGCTTGCATTCCTTGCAAAGGTTGCCCATGAGAGTTACCTGACTGAAATTGCGGACCCTGGACTAAACCGGCTTTCTGCTTTGACTACACAAAAAGTTTAGTTTTAGTGAAAATCAGAATCAAAATATGTTTTCCTTACCTTCCAGTATCAACATATTAAGAATTCAGAGTAATAGTTAACAATAAAAGGTAGTACAAACAATTACTAAGGCACAACCCATCACCAAGCGGTAACGTCATGCCTAGAAAACTTTTCAACTTCGTTCCGAAGATCAAGAAAACGAGTTCATGGTACTGATTAACAATATCCCAACACCAAAGTAGCTTCAGTACCAATTTTAGACCAACGAGTACCAAGAGTTGTGTGCATACCGAAGCCAGTAATTGTGACTGCAAGTTATATTGAGCAGCAGCCGCCCCAGACAACATGGGCAAATGGTTACCCTGACCAATTAACGCAGACCGTGACAGATTCCCAGAACCCATTTGCTGCTGTTGGTTAGGCTGTTGCTGCGGTTGCTGCTGCTGATTTGTAGAAGACCCACCAAAATTCATCTGACTATAAAGCCCCGTTTGCTGTCTCATCATCCCAAACTGCTGCTGCTGCTGTTGCAATTGGCTCATCCGAGACATCGAAGGGGACCGTTGTAAGGCCTGCTGGAGTTGGAAATTCGTCATCGCGTTCGCATTCTGGGGTTGTTGCACTAATTGCTGCGAATGTTGCTGCTGCTGTTGTTGTTGCTGCTGCTGCTGCTGCTGCTGCTGTAGAGGCTTCTGTTGGTAGTCTAATCCAACCGCAGGGCTCAGTTGTTGCTGTTGCTGCGGATTTTGCGGGAGGGAGATGTGCGAAAGGGGAGGGGAAGAGATTTGAGAGAGCGGATGTAAGTGGTCAATTGAAGGTGATTGAGCGAGCGCAGAGGGGGATGGAATAGGAGGATTTACAGAGGAATTGAGAGGATTTGATGAATTCTGTGGAATAGCGGCCGTTGAAGGTTGAACTTGCGGTTGTGGCTGCGGCGGCGGTGGCGAAGGGTCCATCGGGTTCTGTTGGACCGGTCTCGGAGACGAAGTACTGTCTGCCATTGAAATTCGAGGATAAACAACGACGGAGAAGCTAATTCATGGTAGAAATTGCATCGGAATTTGCAGAGAAACGGAGCGGCAGCGTCCGAATCCGGACGGGAGAAAGGAAAGAGGAACGCGGAGAGAGAGGCGGAGGAAGAACAAAGTGTAGAACAACGAGCAGTAGGATTCGTACACGTCATCTGATGGACCGCCTGCATTGATTTAGTTAAAACACGTGGACAGCTCCTGTACGTTCGATCCGAGCGTACGATTGACTACTGTAATTACTCCCGCGTCTAATCACAAAATAAATCCATTTTCCCAATTTACCCACCATGATATTTCCATTTACAAATTACAATATATACAAACTTTCTAGACAAATTACAATAATTTAGTTTTTATAATTGGGTCAAATTTTATGAATCTTTTAATACCGTATTTATAATTTTTCTTTTCACTCAACATCTTTCTATTTAAGTAATTGTGTTTATTAAGTGTATTAGAATTTAGGGATGAGAAAAAAAAAAGTGACTTTTTTAAATGGACAAAAGGCAGTGTAGGAAGAACTTGTTATATTGGACCAAATAAAAAGACCAAATTAAAACTTTTAAAAATATGAATCCAATTGAAGTTAAGCCTAAAATTTGTCCAAACTATTGAAACTAAATTTATAACTTTAATCTTTAATCTTTAGTTAGTTGGATTTAAAGCAATTATCAATCAGCGAAGGCATAGATGAGCTCCTAAATGGATAAAAATTAAAATGACGAGCTCCTAAATGGATAAAAATTAAAATTCTGAGTATTAGTAACTTCTCTTAAAAGTATAAACACAACGGCAAATATGGAATAAATATTTATTTTTAGATCGAAAATTAGTAATACTTTAAGAATAAGGCAGCGTGGAAATATATATCCATAACCTATGATGAGATAATGATAGATAGTTTTGTTGGTCGTTTTTTTATTTAATTTATTATGTAGAAAATAAAAATCTAATTGTTATGTTCAATTAAATGAGTAAATCCGAAACACATATAAGTTGTGTATGTATATATTTTGTAGCTACAATAAACATGGGGTGGATATTTGAACTGAAGATAATAAGCAATATATGTTCCAACTGTTAAATTTTTATCCAGAGTTTAATGACTTTGTTTCTCAAAGCAGGCCACTTCATGAAAGCTGGACATGCTCTGTTTTGTAATATCTAATAATAAATATAAATTAAATATGGAGCACACAGAAACTCTGTGTTGTGTCCAAAAGATCACCTTATTCTTGATCTTGGCTGTGCTAATGAAAGCTTGCAAGATCTTGATAGCTATTTCTTAAGCTTAATCACAATTTAGAAAAAAATGGCAGTATCAAGAACAAGAGCAGATGGTAAAAAAAGCATTCAATCTAAATACTTTGCAGGCATGAGATGTATGTACATACACATTTATACATCTTAAGCATGGTCATTGGGGCTGCTCTGTTTTCTCCAGTAATTTTGCCAAGAACCCTTTCCAATCTGAAACTTGTTCATTTCCATTGGCAACCTGTTGTGACATACAATTAATATAAAATATCATGTTACAATATTTAAACCAATAGATCAAGATTTGCACAACCCCATTTAGATTTCTGTTTAATCTATAAAATTTGGACAACTACTGCCTTATGTTCTTTTTAAACAAGAAACAAACTTTTTATTTTATAATTGAAAAATTAAAAGGATGAACAAGGAGAGCAAGACTACCGATGGTAGCCAAAAAAAAAACTACAGAAAAACATAGAGCAATATGAAAGACGCTCCAATTATTACAAATATCATTGCTAAAGTAGTTGACAAAAATAGAGGACAAAGAATACCATCTTGGGGATTTTAACTTTAATCAAATCAGCACACTCATTCCAAGCAACTTGTCTAATTTATTTCATACTAGATTTCTGATAACTAGCGGGTTTAACCATCTTGATCAAAATCAACTTCGCTTTAAATCAAAATTAACAAAAATAATCCTTGACATCCAGCAAATACGTAATGTTTACCAACCTCAAATGCAAATCCTCCTTTTGGGACTGCGTCAGTGGCTTCTACACAAATGAAGGCTGCATCCTCCTTGCTAAGAGTTCCCGTAGCTGCACAACCCTGAAGAATAGCACCGAATGGCCAATACAACACGTTCATCAGATGCCAAAATATAATGAACAGATAAAAGAGTCTCATCTCAATATCAAGTCTCCATAAATTCTCTCTAAAAAAAAACCAGTGCTGTTTAGATTAGAAAACAGTTGTTTATCATATCCGTTAGAAAGGAACATCTAAGGGTGAAGAGTAACCTCTTCAAAGCTGAATCCTTGATTTCCACCGGGTGTATCTTGCAATAAGCCAGCTCGTACGATGGTATAAGGAATTCCTGAGGCTACTAAAACTGATTCATCTTGCTCAGCCAATTTTCTTGCATTGCCTTTAACAAGAGCTTGGATGCCACTAGCACTTTTATATACGGACAACTGCAACCTTATTAAGCCATAACAATGAATATAGATCGAAAGACTGAGTTCTGTTCATGTTCATACCAACGTAAATATTTGTTTGTTCTCAACATGAGTATGTATGCCAAATAGACTCGGGGAAGAAGTATACCTGAGATAAGAGAACGATATGCTGCACCCCTTTCAGGCTTCCAGCATTGGATAAGAAACCTTCCTGATGTTACGATTATTAACAAACCTGATGAGTCAATAACCATCATAGTTCCCTTAATAAGGCTCAATTTCAAAGAGAGAGATATTTTCAGGAAAGTTTGAACTTAAGGAGTTGAGATACATGCTCATTCTCGTAACCTGATATTAAATATGAACTTATATTCAATCATCAGTGTGTTTGGTAGTGGAAAATCCAGGAATACATTAGTCCATAAATGTAAGATGACCCAGAATTTGCAGCAGTAATTTGTCTATTTTATTTATATGCAATGCTTATCTTTCACATATTTAGAATGAAAACCTCTTTGAATTAGGTTTATTTTGTATTGAAGTAGAGATTTGAGGCTTGTGGTATATCAGTTTTACTTAACCATTGTATTGTATTTCTAAGTCAAGCAAGTATTTAACAAAACTTTAGCCACTTTCTACTTCTCTTATTTTTCCTTTCTAAATTCACATCCAATCATTTCATACACACATTCCTGTCCAACATTAAGATAATTTCTGGTTTACCATACCTATTATTCCCTTCTAAATATTCTTCCAGATATTATAAGGAAAACAATTTGAATGTGCATGAAGTTAGAAATGAAAAGGTACAATAAAATCCGACTAGAACAAGAGTAGATACACAAAGAATATATCATACTGCCACCAGAATTTTCGAACAAAGAATAGGGGGAAATTTAATTTAGGGAAAAGGAATAGCAGATTGGAATGTATGTGCGTACTTTTGGGCAAATTATAGTGCGAACTTCTCTTAGAGCTTTCTTCAATGATGGCTCATCTTTTATATCACCGGCTACTGGCTTTTCACGTGAAATCAGAGACATAAAACCAACAGTTCCTTGAGGTTCAGAATGCACAAAACACATGGAAATAACAGCAAATGTAGTATATTATCTGGAATAGCGTTCCTAGAATGTGAATCCACCCACCTCAACATACAATCCGAAAGCTTCAAGGGCAGCTTGCTTGTCTTTTACTAGAGCCTTGACTCTGGTTTTTTTCACAATCAACGATAATATCACCATCTGCAGTAGGCAGATGTCACTTGGTTGGATATTAAAGTAGTTGAGCACAATTGAAAGTTGATCATTGTTACGCATAACAGTTTGAAGATGCAGCTTCGAAGCAGATACTTGTAGAAATTAATGATTCATTATATTTAATCTTCTGACTAAGTTTGGGCTAGGCTAACCATAAATCGCATTGTTTTAGTATTCATTTATATACCAAATTACCAATGGAGTTAGATGGAAAATCGTATAATGCTCGCAAAACAAAGGCAAAAACACACCTGACCCATCTCAGTATCCCCATCGGTCACCAAAACTGCATCCCTGATTGCATCATCCTCTGTATTAATGAAACAAATTCAATTGAAGAAAAACATCAGAAAACTTATACAACTATTTGTTCCTATATACATTACCAGTATATTCATCTTCGTCTTTAAGGACGGATCCATCTTTAGAAACAAGGTCAGGCGCCCCATACCATTTCCTCAACTTCGGACCGCCTAAAATCAGACATGAAACCAGAAAATAAGACATAACATTTGGGAGTTTATTAAAGCTGGATTTAAAGAGCAGCGAGCACCTTCAATGTAGTCAAGAATTTGATCCATGAATCCGATCTTCTTCTTGGCAAAGCAACGAAGTCGTTCGTGGGTTTTGGAGACGAAGAAGATCGGAGAGGAACTTTGCCATTTGGAAATTGAATTCAGTTCAACGAAGGGAGTGGGAGCGATGCTGTGGAGAAGGAGACTGCTGACCATTGGACAAAGGATTTTCGCTTTCCTGTAATTTCTCTCGCCTCGACCAACCACTTCCATTCCCGCTATTTGGAGGGGATAACAACGTCAAATTCCATTACTGCCCTTTGGTGCTTACCCATTTTTTCCTAATTAAAGTTTATTTTTTAATTTTTTCCCTTCAAACGGCACATTTTTTTAATATTTTTTTAAATACAATAATAATAAGTTGTTCTTATTATAAATATACGAACTCACAATCGTTTTATGCAGTTGAGATCCGCCCAAATTTGGTAGAACTTTTTTTTACCTATAATATTAAGAAGTTACGAGTTTCATTGAAAATCAAACATTTTTAATAATAAACATTCCTATCCATATATATAGTTTGATTTTCAATAATAAATCTTCCTATCTATTTATATATATATATATATATATATATATATATAACTAAATAAATAAATGAGCATAAAACTTATCAAACCGAACATAGCTCGAGTGGTTAAAACATTTATCTATGATYAAAGGATTATGAGTTTAAATCCTCATCTATCTTTGATCAAAGGGTCATGGTTAAGAAAAATAATCAGATAAGTTTGAACGAACAAAAACAACATTTACTCTAATATATACCTATATAATGTCTTGTTGTTCATCATCTTCTCACCAGTGAGCTTTGTATCTTAAATTCTGTCATTGCTTAGCTGACTCACTCACCAGAGACGATCGGCTGGAGACGAAAACCAGAGGTAGCAGAAGAGTCGGAGGAAGTTTCAAAATTTTCAAAAATAGATTTGATATATATATATTTTTTGTGTGATATATATATATATATATATATATATATATATATATATATATATATAGTACAATTAAGTAAAACTAACGGGATTTAAATTGTAACCTCCCCTAATTTACCCATTTGTGATTTTAAAATTTATTTAATATTACAAAAAGATATACTAGTAATTTATGTGATGGGTGGGTACCATTCTAATTACGGTTGTTTCATGACAATGTAAATTCTATACCTTTCAATATTTTTTTTAATTATAATTTTTAAATAGACGATATATACACATGAATTTTTTATTTTTTATTTTGTTTCCATGGCCACGACCCATTAGTTTTCGATAGCCCATTAGTTCTTGTTGGGCCTATAGAAAAGCTGAAGGCCCAATCGCAGACGTTAAAAACTTTCATTTTAGGATATTTAATTTCTTCAGGCTGGCTCAGGGTTTCCTAGGGTTTTCTTCATCTTCAACCTAGAGTTCACGCAGAGGATCGGTGAACGGCGACAGCAGCAGCAACCAAACATGGCTACTCAGATGAGCAAAAAGAGAAAGGTTTGCATCCAATTGGCTTCTTCATCTCAACTATTTTTTTCACGGAAGACAACACTCTACCATTTTCTATCTTTTCGAAACTTATTTTTCTCATTCGGATACAGTTTGTGGCGGATGGAGTGTTCTTTGCGGAGCTTAACGAAGTTCTCACCAGAGAGCTTGCAGAGGATGGCTACTCCGGAGTCGAGGTTAGGGTCACACCTATGCGGACTGAGATTATCATTAGGGCTACTCGTACACAGAATGTTCTTGGTAAGCAACTTCTACTCCTACTTTTGTTTTTTTCCTCTGCGAATTATCGGAATAGATGTCGGAAGATTGGAGTTCTTATTTCGTAGCGAGCTACCACCACGATTGTTTTTTTTTCCTGATTTTTTCCGCCATTTGATGTAATTGCACTTTTTTCGCATCAAATAAATGAAGCAACATATTCCACAAAGTTAAATATCATGTAATTCTAACGACGTGGAATCTCGATTTTTAGGATGTGTGTAGGATCTTAGGCAGGCTTATAGAAATGTGTTAAAAGAATTGGTGCTTTGAGATTTTGAAGGTATCTTAAATTGGGTCTGTGATGGCTGATGTCGAAGTTACATTCAGTACAGAAGGCGGAGTGGGGATTGAGTACAATGTTTAGTCAAATTAACTGCGTTTTTTGGTGCTGTATCTTTTACATAGTTGCATTTTCTTCTATAGAGATTATTGGAGTTGTTTGATTGATTCGAGTTTTCTAGTTTAACATTATTGAGGATATGGATTTGAATATGGTTATATTCTGCCAATGCATTAAAAACATTTTGCATCCATTGAAGTGAATTTGAATTATTTAGCTAATAGTGGTTGTATTTTACAAGAATTGACTGATCAAATGTATCATTTTAACTGTTGGGTATTTTAATTTAGGTGATGTAACTATTGGTTTTTGGATATGGTGTCTGACTACGCATTCTATTATGTTTAGGCGAGAAAGGAAGGAGAATCCGAGAATTAACATCTGTTGTTCAGAAGCGTTTCAAGTTTCCTGAAAACAGTGTTGAGCTATATGCTGAGAAAGTCAACAACAGAGGACTCTGTGCCATTGCTCAAGCTGAATCTCTGCGCTACAAGCTTCTAGGAGGCCTTGCTGTCAGGAGGTAAATATGGAAATTATCAATGCTGTAATGGTGTGTATGTAGTAGTTTCTAGTTCGATTGGAGACTTTCAATCTTTCTTAGGTGTGATATTATATAATGATGATAATGTTCTAAATGTATACTAATTGTTTGGTTTAGGACTATGTCCTTTAACATGCTAAGCGTTTTATTTGGACAATCACATCTATTGAGCATTACTTTTTCATTTTTCTAGGGCTTGCTATGGTGTCCTTAGATTTGTCATGGAGAGTGGAGCTAAGGGATGTGAGGTCAGTACTAATTTTGCTTTGAACGGAATTGGTTCTCGACGTTTTTAGCAGACGAACTATTCAGTACCTTCAATTTTTAATAAGTTATATTTTGAATCATTCAGGTTATTGTTAGTGGTAAGCTGAGGGCTCAGCGTGCAAAATCCATGAAATTCAAGGATGGATACATGATATCATCCGGACAGCCAGTGAAAGAGTACATAGACTCGGCCGTGAGACATGTTCTCCTTAGACAGGTTAGTATCATTCTGAGAGCGAACCTCGGGTTTCATGTCCTGCTTGTACACATCATTCATTATCTTGACAGCCTATTTGGGTGGTTCTGGTTCTTTAATTGACGTATCTGTTTATTTCGCAGGGTGTTCTGGGTATCAAGGTCAAGATCATGCTCGACTGGGACCCGAAGGGCAAGCAAGGTCCACCGACGCCCCTTCCTGATTTGGTTACTATCCATACTCCCAAGGAGGAAGAGGAATTCATTAGGCCCGTCGCTGTGATTCCAACGGCTGAGATAGAGGTTGCAGCAGCTTAAGAGAAGAAGAAAAGAATAGCAGACATGAGGGAGCAAAAAGTAGTCTAGTGTTTCTATCATAAATGTCATTTCTTTCAGACCATGGAATTCTAAGTTTTGATAATGTCTTTCTTCTGTTTTGAGTTTTGATTTTGGCATGTTTTTGTTACAAATATTCACACAAACATTGTTACTCTACTTTATGACTGGCCCCCTACTGTTTAATCGTAATCTTAATCTGAGTTTGTAATATGTGCCAAAAAAACCCATCTCTGTGGTGTTATCGTAATCTGATTTCGGTTTGGTTCGGTTTGATCATTTGGTTTAGTTTGATTTCTTTCCCACTTTATGATTGCTAGTATTCCTGGAAATGCCTTGTTAGTCTCTGTGGATGATGAATCCGAATAATTTCCTCAAATGTAATAATGTCGATGAAATTACATGGGCAGGCCCATTAAAAAGTTGTCTGGGCTTCTCAAGTGTTGGGCCGAAGCCCATATTGTGAAGGAGCCCGAATTCATACGAACACATGTTTGGTGTGGCCGATGACAACACGACAAGCACGTGTGAATAGAAGTCTTCATTTTTTAGCGGGCCGATGCGCGACGAACCGTTTCGGACGCGAGGGTTGCTAATTAGCTGCAATTGAGAGAGTATTTTGGAGTCCGGTACTCTGAAATGGATGTAGTAGAAAAACTGCGTGCTGAAAAAGCCAGGCCCGAGAATGATACCCTATCCCGTGCCGCGCGTATAATCCGAAATTCTTCATTTTCTTAACATTCAAGTTTCTCCCTCTCTCTCTCTCACTCTCTCAATCTCTGTTCGCTTCGAAGCTCTTCGCGAATAAGCCCAATCCTGTCTCTTTCAGTTGGATTTTCGAGTTTCAGTTGCTGAGTCAACTCGATTCTCACTTGGTTCTATGGTAAGCCGCAACGAATTTAATTTCTCTGTTGTGATTTTCCTGCCTTTCCTCACTTCAATCAGTGTCTAATGTGTCTTTCTTGAAACTCGTTAGTATTTACTGGTTCATTGGAATTCGGTGTAGTAGGAAAGATGGAAGAGCTGTCTTGGTTGGTTTGTTCAGTGAATTTTAATTTGGGTGTCTGATCATTTGGATATGAATTCGTTTTTGATAGAAAATTAAAGATTCGTAAATTTATAGTTATTGATTTATAGTTGAAAGTTTGAGTTACTTGAGGTGGATGGAGGAGAGGTTTTTATCCTGAAACAGGTGTTAGTTTGAATTCTTTGGATATTTATTTATTTCTTGTCTTCTTTTGGGGGTTTCAGTTTATGTATTTGAGTTGCATGTGGTGGATTTTCCATGGAAACAGTGGTTGGATTTGTGGAGAATGGAGGAAACATTGAGGAAGGCAGGGTTGCGCTTGATGACTCCACTCTGTCTCCGAATCAGATTGCCGACCCAGTTGTATACAAACTTGTCCGGGTATCTTTTTTCATTTCTTTGTTTTAATTTGTTTGTACCTTATCGATTTTCTTGTTCGAAGGAACTTTATTACTTTAGCTACTAGTGCTACTCGGCCAACAATGTCCAAATCATACCCGAGTATAATCTCTTGTGCCGGAATCAGACTTCTAGATTTGAATTGCTTTTCGTGCAATTCATCCATGTTTATGATTGGTGGTTTCATGAGCCTGTAGCCGAGAGCATCATTTGATTGGAGTACTCTATGCAGGTTAAAGATACCATCATACTCATAGACGTGTCAATCGAATGAAGTACTGAATGGAAGTCTAAAAATAAATGCACTTCATATTGTGAGGACTAAGAAATATATAGATTGAAAGAATTGTTGTGTACGGCCCCTCCCACCCACATAAAAAAAATGGAGGATTAAAGAAGTTGGTAATTGGTATCCAAATTATGTTTTAAATAGCAAGCAAGCATTGTATTTGTATATATGTTAAGTTAGGGACATCAGTCGATATTATAGCTGGAAGAATATGTGTAACTTATATCAGGCTTGGTATCAAAAATCTTCAAATATCTGTGGAAGAAGTTATGTGATCTGGTCATTTCATTGGTGTTGTAGTGGAGATTGCTGTACTAGTATTACTTTCTTTTTCCTTTTCTTTTCTCATCCCTTATTAGTTTTCATTTAAACTGTTAATGAAGTTCTGTATATCATATTTAGGTTGACGGTGATGGCAGATTTGTTCCTGCCACAGATGATGAAGTAATGGAGGTTGAGGATCTAATTGAAGATGACAAGAGTGAAAAAATTGCAGATGCAGGACAAATTGTAGGATGCGTACCCACTGAAGGTGCTTTGTTTGGGAAGCCTCATTTAGAAATCTCAAATGGTTGCCTTTTCTTTCATTTTCCCACTTTCTTTTGTTATTATAACTACTCAGAGTTTCCCCCCCGGTATAGGACGTACTGAACACTTACAATCTTTAATGTGTATGATTTTATATTCCAGAGTGGCCTTAAATAACGACTAGAGGTTGGCATGTCAAATTACCATTGTTGTCATTTTTATTTTTTCAGACTTACATACACTACCTCTATTCTGTATTCAAGTTATCTGTTTCTTGATACCTATTGAATGGTCTCCTCTCAGTTTTATGATATATTGCCGAGTTATATTGAATAACGAAGTTATGATCATATCTTTTATTATTGGTCATGTACCTCACTAGGATCATGTACCTTTTGAGTTGAATTGGTCAAATTGGCTATTATAGCTAGAAAGATTATAATACCACTTCATGCTTTCAGCTAGGCTCAACACGTTCACTTGTTTTCCTATTTTCTGTTGAGTTTGGTTATGATGTCTGTATTGTTAAGATATGCCAGGTTTATCCCAGTCTGAAACCTTCGAAGCTGATGCAGGATATAATGCCCGATTGGAGGTATGAATTTTCTTTCTCATGAAATGAAATGCCTTCTTTCATTGAAGATCCTGACTGATTGCTTGGAATACAAAAGAAACATTGTTATATCCAATTTTTTTTTTGTTAATATTTATTGGCGTCCTCCTTAAATTGCCATAGCCTGTATTTTTGGACTCTAGTTTATCAAGTCACTAATTGTGTATTATTTCTGCCTTTAAATATCTTGTAGTACATTGAGGAGGTACTGCAAAAGGTGAAAGAGGAAGAGAGGCTTCGCTTAGCATGTGGATCACCTAACCATGCTTCTGCTTATGTGAATGGAGACAGGAAGTGTTCTGATCAGCATGGTAGATTGCCTGTTATCGATGAAAAGCTCCAATCTAAAATTTCACAGCAGGAAATTGCTCACTCAATTTCTCCGAGTTTAAATGAGAATCATGTGAATGAACATGAGAGTCTTGGTGATTGTTTAAAGCATCCAGATGAATTAGTAGAATCTGAATCCTCAGATGCTGTTGGTACTACATCTAACCCTGATTTTTCCTTGTTAAAGGGGGAAATATGCCTGGATAATCTGTCAATTAGAGAACTCCATGAATATTTCAGAGCTACTTTTGGGAGAGAAACTACAGTTAAAGACAAATCGTGGCTAAAGAGGAGAATAGCCATGGGATTGACTAACTCATGCGACATTCCACCCTCGTCTTTTATAATTAGAGAAGGAAAGTTTGTAGCCGGAGGAATGGAAGAATGCTCTCAAAATGTGGAGGGCATGTCCAATGTTCCGCTTGTCAAAGCTTTAAATATTGAATGCAAAGGTTCACCAACAACTCACAGTTGGGAAAACAAGAACCACTCTTGCATTGCTGATATGGAACTTGATCATGGAAGCAAAGATCGACTTGATGAAGAGAGAGCTGCTGTTAAAAGAATTCGAAAGCCTACTAGGCGGTATATCGAAGAACTTTCTGAAGTAGAGTTAAGAGAGCATGGCCAAAAGGGGGCGAGTTTGTATAAAAATGCTCCGTCAGATGGTACATCGTCAAGTTCTATTGCAAGACCTATTAAGAAAATCATCTCTTCAGATGGGGGAAGAACTATCATCACTAGGATGGATACACTTGGTGGATCTGGTTTTCAAGTTCCATGTGTTTCAAGAGTTCGAAGGAGCCGTCCAAGAAAAGACATTGAAGCCCTTCTGGTATGTGTTTATACCTTTTAAAGTTATTGTTTCCAAACATTGTGACTTAATCTATATGACTTCATTAACTCTCTGTGAGGGCAGTACTTCTAAGTTTTATTTTGGACAGTGACACTATCTTGGTTTACTTTTACTTACAAATGTTTCGACATTTATCTTCTGATTGCTGGGTTTTTATACTTTGTTGCTTAGTTTGCCCCTCCAGATAAAGATCAGAATCCTTCAGTTAAGGACACAGATCAGAATACTTCAGTAATGGACACAGAGGAAGTGGAGAAGAATTTGGAACCGAAGCTAACAGCTTCTGGCAATAATGCATCAGATGATAACGCAGCCATTGTTCCGACATCAAAAGGTGGAATGAGAAGGAAGCATCACCGTGCTTGGACTCTTGTTGAAGTTATCAAATTAGTAGAGGGCGTGTCGAAGTGTGGAGCTGGGAGATGGTCCGAGATTAAGAGACTTGCTTTTTCATCGTACTCATACCGTACATCAGTTGATCTCAAGGTATGTTTTCTCATGAACTCCTCCTATTTCAAAATCTAAATCTTGTTGAACTATGTAATTGATTTCAATTTTGTCCTCAATGCTTTGGAAGTTTCAATTTTACCCCAATTCTCGACACCAGTTACTTAGCTTAGGGGTAAAATTGAAACCAAATAAATTATACATGCCCCTTGAGTATGTTGTTATTTTCTATTTTTCACATTGGTTGGTTTTAATTGTGATCCCAACTATATAATACTTTCAATTTTACTTTAGTCTTTGATTTTTGATTTGGCATTTTACTCGAAAGTGTCAGACGACAGGTTTCTATGAAACAAATTATAAGATTTGAAGCTAAAATGGAAACCAATCCCATTTTGTTTTAATTTAACTGAAAGGGGCTCTCCCTTTGTAGGATAAATGGAGGAACCTGCTTAAAGCTAGCTCGGCTCAGACGCCTGTTGATGAAGTGGTAAGCATTGGATTGATATGAATGTTACTGTTCTTTGATTATACTTTTGATATGAATGGTTATATCATTTGAAGTTCATTTTTGGATAATGAAATGAAACCGAATGGAATGCAGGTAAGTTCTCGGAAACATGTGTCGGTGTCGATACCTGCACAGATTTTGTTAAGGGTGAGGGAGCTTGCGGAGATGCATGCCCAAATTGCTTCAAATCATCATCATGGCCCAGCAGTAGCAGCAGCAGCAGCAGGAGTTACTCCCACAAATATGCATGAGATGACTTCGGCCGTGTGCTTGTAACATTGTAAATAAAACACCTACTGTCTTATTTTTCCCACATTACAAAACAGAGTAAAAAAAAAAAATCCAAAATAAAGAATTTCTTAACCTAGCCACAGTTCATTAACCCAGTCAATGTTTTGGTTATGTTTTCTTCTGGTCCCTAAAGAAACAGAGAAAGGATATTAAGTTATTATATAACACCAAATTATGAACGAAATTGGAAAGGACAATAAGGGACGAGTTATTCATAGCAGATATGTCAAGTTCGTGCAGTTCCGGACCCCAAAAAGTTGATGTGCTAACCAAAAAAAAAAAAAAAAAAAAACAAATTGGACTAACTTTTTATGTCGTTTTGTGAAGATTTATACCTGGAATGAACCCATAAGATTGCCGTTCATTGTTTAATTACAGCTGCAGCATCTTCATCTGATGGCCATTGAAGAGGAGCTCCTAATCTTGATTATACATTCACCATGGCTGCTATCTTCATCGGCTTCGGAATTGTCATTTTTTGCTCACTGATCTGCATCATTCTTCAATCTAACAATGCTAGACTGGTGTAGTTGCTGTTGCCATCGCCCCATCCGCCCGAGTTAACCGAGTTAACCGATCCAGTTAAGAACATTGAACAAGAGGTTCCAAATTTCATACAGATATCAACATTGGCCTACAAGAAAGACAATGAGAATGAGTAAACTAATACTGAAACTCTGTGTTTTGTGCTTGTCACCTTTTGAAGATGGAGAGCGCTTACGGCAGCTTCCCAGCTGCAACCATGTATTTCATGCTCCATGTATCGACGTATGCTATTGTCACATTCGGACTGCCTTCCCTAGACCTGGAGGCTTATAAAATGAGCTTTCTCCTTGTTAAATATGGGAGAGGCAGGGCCACAAAACATGGTTTAATATTTCGATTGCATATCGGAATAAGAAGATGCCGAAAGTCAATAGAAGCTTCTAGTTCTAGCACCACTTGACAACGAAGTAGAATGGTTAATCTCATGACAATTCTCAGATTCTTCCAAACTGTTCCAATTACTCTTGCCAGCAGATTCTAACAATTCAAAATTTGTACAAGAGAGAGAATTACCTGATCACAAGATTCACATGTGCTGAATACATTGTCTCACTTCTCCAAACAAGAGATCATACTTGTCAAATGTATTATTCAAATACAAACTTGGTTGATTAGAATTCAAATATAAACAATACATGATTTATTATGTATCTTATCTGAGTGTTATCAGTTCCCCATAATTGAAACCTACATCTTCCTCAAGTTATCCAGCCTAGCCTGTAAATCACTATCAATTCCAGTATCTTCACTTCCTGTGGCTTCTGCTTGGGCAACTCTATTATTTGCAGTAGGAACCGACACCGATGCAGAGGGTGCATTCACAAGCTGCACGAGAGAGAGAGAGCATAAATCAATTGCCATTGTGCTTAAATTACTTTTCCCATGATAAAGCCTCTTTTAATTGGATGCTAGAAATTTCATAAAACTATGATAAAAACATATGCATGCAAGTGCATTTACCTCTGAGTTAATATCAATTCCAATCTCATCAAGCACCTGATTCACAAGCTCATCTGTCTCCTCCTCTTCTTCATCTCCTTCCAAAGCATCGTCAAGAGCGTCTGCCATTAATTCAGATGTCATTTCCATCTTCTCATTCTGCCTCTCAAACTCTTGCATTATCTTCTGTAATGCCGGCAAGTTCATCTGCCTATTCATCTGGCCCATTGCCTTAGTAACACCTTTCATGGCTTCTCCCATTGCTTGAGTTGATTTCAGTGTCTGCAGGAAGCAAATGGTAGGAGCTAAATTTGAATAATCACAACTGCAGAAACTGTGTACCTCAATTGATTAAAAAAAGCTAATAACATCTTTACAGTTTCAAAACATTGTAAGAGTTCTTCCAGCGATGAAGTTTTCAAAAAAATTTCCATTTCCAATAGTAAATAATACTTTCCTAATATGAAACAAAGGAATATTTAGTACTTATTTAACGTTGAAAGCTCCTCTTACAGTGATGGACGTTTTGCTTTGAATAGAAAAAGCATCTTCTTGTTAACTAATGATATAGCTGATTTTGCCTAAATTGATTTTCAATAGAGTATTTGAAAAATAAATAATGGAAGATTATTCATAGTGCATTTCAATGGGCATTGATCCAGAATGTGACAATTAGATAAACCAAATCGAAAAGTAAACAAGAGGCAGACATGCTAAAATAGTATGTCTGAAATCCTAAAAAACTCAAAAGAGAGTTTTTCCAAATACTCTATTGAAAATCAATTTAGGCAAAATGTACAGGAAACACAAAGAAACAAACCCTAAAATATCTGATACAATTAATAGAATCAAATATATTTTCTAAAAGGTGACATGAATAAACAACTCCTAATTCCAATTTGCACATCATTCGAAGCAAGAAAATAGTATTCCCTCAAATCCAAATTTTGTTCAAATTTTCCTTTTATGACACGATAAAATTAGAAGATGAAAGTGATATTTATCTAATATGAAAGCATCTTTATATTTGTCCTTAATTATGTGGGAAGAGGACCGTATGGCTTGTAAAATGATTTCATTAGGATGTATGTAAGTGCACCTCATTTAAAATTTAAACCAATAAAATGTATCTATAATGAAGCTTAACAAGCTCTAGATAATTATAACCATAAACTTTCAACTGACTTTCAGTCATCAACTGAATAATTATAATAAAAAATTTCTCAGAAGTAATTGTACTTGCTCCAATGAAAATGAAAGATGAGATGCAATAAAATTTTTGGAGAAAGGTGTACATATAATACCTGAATTCTCAAAGCCACGCCCTGGAGCTGAGATTTTAGTTTATAAAATTTTTCAATCTGATGTCGTGTCCTGATAAGATCTTTGGCCATGATTTTAACAGCTCCCTAAAAAGAACAAAAGAATCAATAAAATTTAACAGAGTTGATGGTTACGACCTAGTATCCACCGCCCTATCAAAAGAAAAAAAAAGCACACTTACTTCGAAGTTAAGAAATTCAGTCAATGAAAATGTGTCGATGTTAAAGAACAAGTTCAAAATTGGTTAACTCACCATCTGTCCTTGTTTAGCATTTTTCTTTATCTCCACAATCAATTTCTTTTCCTGAGATTGTAAGCCTTGCCTTTCCCGTTCTATTTCTCTAATGGACTTATCCAGCATCCGCTTATTCTCCCGCAAAAGCTCTGCGAAGAAAACCAAAACAGATTAGTAAATTACAATCTCGAGACGTCGTAACAGAGCGCGCAAATTTACTCATATAAGTTATAACGCATAGGAAAGTTTTGATTCCTGGACATCACGAATTAAATTACATGTAACCACTGTCGACGAATTTCATCCACATCAAATTGACGTTTACAGGACTGAACTCCAGAATTAGAAATTCATCATAAGAAAGCACGCCATCACATAGAACAAAGCTCCAGAACATGCATATTTTAGAAGGTAAGACTGTAGAATTTTCATCCACATCAAATTGACGTTTATAGGACTGAACTCCAGTGTTAGAAATTCATCAAGAATAAAACTCCGGAATATGCATAATTGAGAAGGTAGAACCTAGAGTTTCATCCACATCAAATTGACGTTTATAGGACTGAGCTCCGTAGTTAGAAATTCATCACAAGAAATCACGCTATCATCATTCATCAAGAACAAAGCTGCAGAACATTCATAATTTGAGAAGCTAAGAACGTTAAGAACCTGCGGGAGTTTTTCGGCTGCCAAAGAGGAAGCTCATACTTGACCGTCGATCGATACAACCAAAAGATGCGTGAAATTTCCGATCTCGATGATCTTATTCCTTTTTCGCTTCACCTTCCGTTACTCAGCAACTCTCTCTCTGCTCAAACTCCGTCGACGAAAGTCACCGGCAACGGTGGGCTCACGCCATAGAGCCACCTTTTCCTCTGGCGAATCGCCAATCAGTACGTAAAACCATGGCGAGGCCCAAATCTTTTCTTGGGCCGTTATGATTATTGGGCCTCCAATGATGGGATCGCAAATTGGGCCGTAAGGAGTGGAAAATCTACGAGCCCATAGCCCACCTCGGCAAGGAACCATATGGTGATATTCTACTTCTTTATAAAAATAATTTCAAATATATTCATACTTTTTAAATGTAATCTCAAATATGAGCGATTTTCAAAAACTCATTAAGCACTCATTTGACTTGACAATTGAAATAAGTTTGTTTCTATTTTGAAGTAATCATTATAATGATTTGCGTATTATATATTTGTCAATATGAATTATGAACATAGTTACTGGTTAATAAAAAAAAATGCACTATATGTATTATTGTTATATTCGCAATATTTAACTTTTATTATACTATATTTATGTTGACCCAATTCTAATTTTCAACAAGCGAATTGATTTTTTTATGGAGAAAAAAAATTATTGATGGGTGTTCCGAAAAAGATTTGAAAAATCTCATTTATTAAGGGGAGGAGAATAAGAAAAAAAAAAAAAGAGTTGAATTTACTGAACAGAGATATTTGCCTAATTTTTCTTTCAATCAATAGGGCCATGCAATGGAAGAGCCACTAATTGAAATCATCAAAAAGCATAATCTTTTTCATCTTATTTCTTCTCTCTCATAATGTTGTTCCTTTTTGTTGTTTTCGAAAATGTTCAAATCAAATTGTCAATTCTACTTCTTTTGGAATTACAAATGCACTGAATTATGTGTTTGCTTAATCCTTATGGCTTTTATACCACCTAACTATTCTTATTTTTACATTTTCCTACCATTTTTCAAGTTTTATTTTCGTTAGATATATAATTTGGTTTTTAATGTATTTAAGTTATTTTCATGAATGACTCAAGTAAAAGGCATTACTACAAATAGATTAATTAGTACCCACAGAAACATTTTCATAATTTCATAAGTTAATCCAAAAAAAACTTTACTAATGAAAGTAATTTCATAATTTATTCAAACTTGAGGTTCAAAATTTTAAAACGATATGTATGTGGATCAAAAAATAAATTTTTGGTAAGAAACTAGCAAATATATATATATATATATATATATAATTTGTTACGAGTAAGACAAAACTATAGTCTAAAAATAGAGGATGGAAAAGTCTAGGAAGCCAACTTAGATCTGTTGTCATAGTCTTTGGTCTTGAAAGCAACAAAAGAGAAGTTGAGAAGCGAGAGTCTTGGGACACAAACCTCTTCGAATCTTATACCAAATCAAGCTCACAGCACTCAACCAATGACCTAAGTTGAGGGGGTCGAGCCGTCCATGGAATTGACCCTTGGGCCCTTGAATTAAATATTCTTGTGTGGGACAAATTCCTCGCTCTCTCAATTCTCTAGATCAAAGGAATTCTAAATAAGAAGATATTTAGATAATCTTAGATTTTTCTCTCTAGAGAAAAAACACGCATAAAAAAGCCACAAAATTCTAATTCTATAYCTTCTATAAGTTCTGACTGAAGCATAGAACTGTGGTTATTTTTTACAAGTTCCCCGGTGCTAATTTGACCATTCGATTCATCTGCATCAATATAATTTTGAGTCCACATCATCATTATTGTCAAAGTTTTACTTTGACTCAATTTGGGAAGGGATATCTTAACTATTGTTCTTGATCCTTAGCCGATTTTACATTTTTCAACTTTTTTTTTCCATCCAAATTATTTTGTTGCCACTCGCAATCATATTTCTCCATAAATGAATATGAACTCTATGGAGAGTTTTTTGGTTATGGAAGTCACTTTCTCTATGATTCCAAAGCTCAACCAAGTACGATAGTCGGCTTGGAAGGGACTACCACCATAGCCAAAGTAGACCCTAGCTATCYAGGCTTCACTCTGTTATCATTATTAATTATATATTACACTACGAAATGTTTGTTTCTCTATTTTTTAAAAAATACTWTTTTGTTTTCTATACATTTTATTTTGGTTTCTATACATTTAAAGTGTTCCTTTTTTATCTTTGAACTTTTAAGATGTGACAATTTTAATCTTTTCATTTTCATTTTTATCTCATTTCTTTCCATCACAATTTTAGAACAACACTCACTAAATTTCTTGATGGGTAGTCTTTTTCATTGTATATATATATACAATTTTTGTTAAAATTTTACAAATAGCGATGAGTTTGTCATATTAAGTAGATGTTTTTTAAAGTAAATAACTAAAATGAATAAAATTTGAGAGTGAGAGACGACTAAAATGAACGTTTTGAAACAATAGGAAAAAAACAAAGTAGATACGATGGAAATAATATCTAAATGTCTTAGCTTTTATACATTAAAATATAATGTAAACCTTGTACAATTCGAGGAAGATGATAACCTAAATGCCTTACGTTCCTTTTTTTTTTTCTCAAAGATGCAATATAAAAGCTGCTAACTTTGGTTATTTATAGTTAAACAAAAACGAGAAATCTTCTCGGGATCATAAAAAAGGAGAGGAAAAAAAAGAAAAAAAAAAGAATTTTCTTTTTTCTCTCTCTAAACCCACCCCACGCCACGACTCCCACATTACTGAAAACGCAACGCCTTTTCTTTTTCACAAAGCTGCCCTGTCGCCATCGCGTCTTTTACTTTTTCTTTTTCAAAATCTTTTTCCTCTCACCACACCCACCATTTACCCTTTTCCCATTAAACCCACCTGAACGTGAACTGTACCACTCAGACGAGGTGGGCAGTTCTGTACTTTCTAAGGACAGGGGTAGTATCGGAAATTTAGTTCAAACCAGCCTATTTATCATCCAACGTCAAGATTATTTAAAAATGATACCAGATTCAACTACACCGAAGAATTAGAACTTAAATACGATTTTGGTTATAATTCCGATCAAAAAGGTCAAGTGTATTTTTTAATTTTGTATAATTCATATATGATCCATTTGTTTATATGTCACTTGGACCACATACTTGAACTAAATAGAAAAAAACTAAAAATATATTGTTTAAAATAAGATATAAATTAAAAACTATTCTGGGAAGGAAATAAAGTGAGAACAGAATAGATAGGTGTTACCAAAGGTTCTAAATATCGATGTCGACGAAAATGTCGAATCTCAATTTCATAGAAACGTCGACGAAAATTTCTATAAAATATCGATATTGATAGATATTTCATGAAAAGTTATAAAAATAAAAAATTAGTAAAAACTATCTAAATTGACAAATAAGCATTTCATCCATTTTTAATAAGTTTAAAAAAATTAATATTAATATTATGTATATATCAGTGAGACTTTGTAGATATTTTTATATTCTCTCGATTTTTTGGTAATATTATGAAAATATTAACTTACCTTTCATGTCGATATTGGATCTATGGATACATGAAAATATCAATAGATCAGACATGTTGACGAATATTTCATATCATAGTATTAACAAACATTATAAATTCTATCGAGTAAAATAGATAATACTTAATTCGTAATATGTAGTTGTTAAAAAATGTTTTTATTTTATTAAAAAAAATGTCAATATTTTATAGTTGCACGTGGCATAGAAGTACAGGTGTCAGAGCATGAGTGGTGGAGTTTTGTGCTTTGTCAGGGAGGAGGGGAAGCAGAGGGGGCCTTTAAAAAGAGGATCAGGAGTTTTCAGTGTACATCGCATTATATGAAATGAGCCAAAAGAAAGTCCAAAACTCACCGTATTGGCATAAGAGTTGGGGTTGGATCTGAGCGCACGTGTGCATGCGCGACAAGCCCGGGACAAGCTGGCCCTACCCGTCACGTGCGGAGGGAGGAGAGAGAAATTAAATTTAAATTGAAAATAATTTATTTATTATTATTATTTTATTTTTAAACTCTGCATGCATGTGGTAATGAGTTTTTCCAGTTCGTGTAGCACGCTTGGGTGCCAGACTTGGGAGTGCATTAGTGGGCCCATCTCTGTCAGGGCCCACCACCTATATTTTTCCACTTTTATTACGTCACCAACCTTTTTATTTGATTTTTTATTTAATATTTGGATAAACACAAAATTTTATAGCTAATTTCCCTGTGATTTTGGCGGTGTTTATTAAATGGGTCATTAATTGAAGACATGTGTGTTGGTCTTGTAGGTATTTTGTTAATTAATTTAGTTTAAGAATTGGGATTCTTTGTCAGTTGTCACACAATCAATATTCACCAACTCTTTCAAACTCTTTTATGTATATAATAAACCCTATTCGGATAACATTTATTTAACAAGAAATTAATAACAATATTTTTATAGATGGAAAATTTTGAATCTTTATTCTATACTTCAAATTTCACATTCAAACTTTTAGACTTTTATTATTACAAGGAAGATCCTCGTAATCTTTACAATGGTACAATATTGTTTGTGCTTCGGACATAAATTCTCATGCCTTTGTTTTTGGTCGGTCGAAAAGACCTTAAATTAGCAGTCATCCCACTTTTAGACATTTAACGATATCAATTCAAAAAACCTAATAAGTTTATTGAAAATCCTACCAAGAAATCGAATTCACTATCCAATATATAAAGAAAGAGTGCAATTTAAGGAGATATATATAAGAGAAAAATAAGGAAATGAAAACCTAAATATATAATACGGTTAAATCCACGTCTAATTAATATGACGTCTGTGTTTTCAAGTGGATAATCTCAATGTATCAAAATACTACTTTCGAGAATTGAACCCATGCTTGAAAATTAGTCCGTGACATGATGGTAGCGAAAACGCTTAAATGCTTATGCAACAAATTCAAATGAAATCACACCCAACCCACTCAAGTTAAAATTAAAATCCATCACATGTTCATTAATTAATAATTTTCAACAAATCAAAACTTTTTTATTGTGGGAGGGGAAGAAGATATGAATAATTGAGGCACCAAACGAATTAATGAAAGAGAGGACAAAATTGACAACCAAGAGCCACCACAAAGGGAGGCCCCTTCACAAGTTTCTTTGGAGACAACAG